TTTTTGTATGCCTTTAAGTTTTATAATATATAGTATAGACTATATGATTATTTAGATCTTTTATCAACAATTTTATAATGAAATTAAAATTCAATCAATATATTTTCACAAAAATAGATATTGTTTACAATATAATATAAATTTTACAATAATATTTTTGTGAAGGAACAATGCAATAGTACTTAGCTACCTGTAGTTTTTTTAAAGGATTGGCCTCTCTCTATGCCTTCTCGCTTCATCTTGTTTTTAATAATGCCTGAAGCGACTTGTTCACATGATGTGGAATCAAGGTTTTCTGACAAATTAATTAGGTTTAAAAGAGTCTGACCAGAACTACAATTGCTATGACCTCCTGAAGAATAAAACTAAATATAAAATTTATATAAACTTATTAAGCTTAAAAATAAGGGTTTTTTTATTAAAGTTATATAAATTATTATTAAAAAAAACTAATTATGTATAATTCTACATATTGTTTACAATTTACATAATTATAATTAAATATTTATTTATACATAAATGTTTGACAACTTTTTATTTACTAATCAAATAATTTAATATTTATTTGTAAACCCTTATGCGAGGAGAGAAAAGCAGCAACTGCATATATTTTCCTTTGGTGATTCTACAGCTAGTGTTTTACCACAAGATGGTTGAACAATATCACTAAATTCAGTACTGTGTCTAATTCTTGGCCTGTCAACCTAATTCAGAAACATATACTTTATAAAAAATTATTTTTTATTTATTTATGTATTAGTCATTTGAATTTAATAAATTCTGTACTTGAGATACTTTATTAATCCAGTTTGACAGATAAGTACTTGATCCCTTCTCCAGCAAAAATATGTTTCTTCTACAATTTGAACATATTACGTCAGGGCAAACAATGAAATCTTTATTTTACTCAGGCCATATATACTCTTTGATCTTATTTGCTATAGATGGTTGTACTTTTGATAACGATTTTGAATATTCACCTTTTTTTTCTCCAAACAAACTGCACAAACAGGCTGCTTCAAATCCGCCGCTCTGTGGATTTTTCTCCAATTATTATTCTTATCAGTTAATATTTATTTTTAAAAAAGAAGCCAAAAATGGTGGGTTACATCGTTTTAATTGCTAAATTTTTAGTCCTTTTTACTTTTTTTAAACTTAAAATACCAACTCTTTTGATCAAGTTCAGATTTGGTTTGCACTTGGAAAACACTTGTAAAAACTTAGGTTACTTAAAAAAAAAAAAATCTGAGGTGGTGAGATTTCGAACCTGATGGTCTTTATGGCTCTCTGGGATCAATCAAACTAACAAATAAAAAATAAACTTAAATTGTCCAATATGCAACAGGTTAACAGGTGCTTGTTGATAGTTGAAATTGATTAAATTTTTACTAAACCTAAATAAGAATTGAAATAACTTGACATAACATGTAAGAAAAAAGAAAGTTCATATTTATCTTATCATATGTGAATTTAAGCCATCTATTTGATATAAATTGTAAAAATAAATGTGTGATGGCCAACCACTGTATTACTACAGTAAAGAAATTTCAAAAAAGAAATTATAAAATTTTTACTTATTTTTATTTAAAGATCTTACAAAAACACCAACAATTTAAATAGTTATTAATCCTCTTTAATTTAACATTTTATCATCTGAAATTTCAAAGATATTATCTCATTGATATATTTCTTATTTCATTACTATCTATTGAACTATTGAACACAATTATATATATATATATATATATATATATATATATATATATATATATATATATATATATATATATATATATATATATATATATATATATATATATATATATATATATATATATATATATATATACTGGCTGTTTTTCAAATATATATATATATATATATATATATATATATATATATATTTTCAAATATATATATATATATATATATATATATATATATATATATTCAAATATATATATATATATATATATATATATATATATATATATATATATATATATATATATATATATATATATATATATATATATATATATATATATATATATATATATATATATATGTATATATATATATATATATATATATTCAAATATATATATATTCAAATATATATATATATATATATATATATATATATATATATATATATATATATATATATATATATATATATATACCGGCTGTTTTTCAAATACCGATACTGAGCTCTCAATACCAGTATTTCAGTTATTTTTCTCATTAGACAGAAATTTTTTAAAGAGACTTCGTGCAAGTTTGGACACAAATATTTTTAGAAAGTTATTAGCACAAAAATATCAAATAAAATTTCAACTTTTTTAAGCCGAATGTTTTAACTTAAATGACGGCCACAGATGGCTTGCCATTCAGGGTTTTTTAACGTCCAATAAAAAATCATTCATGTTTATGTAAACGCTGAACATGGTAAAGAACATCTTACTTTTTATGCGAAAGCGATTTTAAAAATTAATAATTCCATTCAAAAAACCGTGATTGATTTAAATTTAGCTATTAACTTTACGGAATCTAAATTTGAATTGATATTATCAACAGTTTTTATGTTCCTACTAGTGAAATTGGCTGTAGAGGCTTTATATTGGAGAGATGCTAATCTTCTCTCAGCTGATACTATCTTGACATTTATGCTGCAAAATTTAAGCGAAAGATCATTAAATAACAATATAAAGGCCTCCTTATTTAAAAGAATATAAGAAAGGCACACAAATTTATCTTATCTCATGCAATTTCTTTATAAAGGTGAACAAACCCAAAATAAATTTGGTTCAGATATCATATTTGATCGGCTAACTAAAACTGCTTTGTTAAATTTAATAGAAACTGAATGAAAATTCGATCATCTTTAAATGAAGAAATTTTAAATACTTTATCTTTTTTGCAGGCCTATTTCAATAATAAATAATTTTTTTTTATGCTTTTTTTTTTTTAATGAATTAATTTCATATATTAGTTTAACTTAAATAATAAAGTTTTGGAACCGTTTGTTTTGTTACTTATTTTAATTAATATTTTTTGGAATATTTATAAATACCAGTATTAATACTGGTATATCGTTTTTACTAAATCTAATTCCGAAAAACCGAAATTTAATTTTTGGTCCGGTATGGGAAGCTCTAAATAGGACAATACAAGACACTGTGGATCAGAGAGCATATTAGATTTGACAAGGTATTGTATACAAATTGCTGAACAACTTAATTGGCCACTCTTTACAAATAAGAGAGCAGAAAAAAGTGCTATATTTTAAGAAGATGTATAGAATGTAAAAGGTATAGAAAAAGATTTTAGTTTTCAAACTAAAAACATAAATAACATCTATCTCTATTAGAGTTGGTGCTCCCAATTTAAGGAGTCACAGAAGTAGTAAACAACTTTCTGTTCAAACAGTCTTAAAACTAAAAGTCTTCTTTGAACTTTCTGACAATGCAACAACAAAAATCTTGTTCTACAATTAATACTGAATTAAATGGAAGAGACTCTGTAGAAAGAAATCTATTTTAAAAACTAGATAATCTTAAAGAACTTAAAAATTAGATGAGTTTTATAGTGCAGAGCATGATAAATTTATTTCTAATCAGAATAAAACTATCTTAAGAGATTTAGTATATATTAAAAATTCCTTGGATTAAATTCTGCATATTATTAAAGAAAGAGGAATAAATCAATGTGTAGGTTTTGTTAGAGTTTTTTTAGATGGTGGAGGAGGCTTTCTAAAAGTTGTTGTGAATGTTTTTTAAAAAAAAAGAATCTGAAAATAAATTTATAAATAAGTAAGTTCAAAAAGTTCTTATTATAGCAGTTGTTGAAGATACTCTTAAAAAAATATGAAAACCTTAGATTAGCACTTGAAAACATAATCTTGATTATGTAAACTATTATATTGCTTTTGATCTTACATGTGCTAATGTGTTAATTGGAAAAAAGCGTGCTTGAAATGTAGTGACGAATGTATGCATGATATATGAACTCTTAAAACTATTGGCAATTTTGATTCCTGTTATGAAGCATATAATAAAAATGGATCCTCCATGAAGGAATTAAATAATATTGTGAACTAACGCCTAGTATATCTTAACACTGATAGAAATACTTTGCAAGAAAATTTAGTTGCTCCACCTGAGTTACATCTCATTAATGCAGTAGGTAAAATAGCAGGATTTCTTATAATTGAGTAGAATGGTTTTGAGTTGTGGTTAAAAAAAACATTGTATAATTAAATAAAAATATCATGGAGTTTGATGAGATGGTAATAATGTAAATAAAATTATAAAATTAATTGATTAACTTAAACTTGAAGGACAACTTAAATTAGTTAATCTACTTCATGTAGTCCAAAGCTTACGAACTTTTGTGAAAGAAGCTTGTTTTGGAAGAAATCTTAATTCTAACTCAGAATACAAAGTATCATTGTTTAGAGATGCATTTTAATGCTTACAAGAAACAGCTTTTTCACTCTGAAAGTCACTAACATGAAAAATCCACATTGTATGTTGTCATTTTATTTTATTTTATTATTTATTTTGTATAGCATGCAGGTTGTCAAAGTATGCAGACCAGTGTGGTGAGGCAATTCATGCAAAGTTTAAGTTTACATGGCAATGATATAAACATAGTTTAGATCATAAAGATTATGGAGATAAATAAAAAATTACAACAAAAAAAACTGCTGTTGTTGATTTTAAAAAATTATAATACTTAGTGCTATATAGAAAATTTCAATTTCATTATATTGTTAAATGTCTTTGAAAAAGTCATAGGATTGGAGCTAGGGGACAAATAAAACCAAAAAATATGATTAAATTGTTAGCATAATGAAAACTTTATAAGTAAAAAAATCTTAGGTTACACTCCATCGAACCTAATATGCTCTCTGGTCAAATAGTGAAGATTACTAACACCATTAAATTAAAAGTTTCTTATTTTTTATTTTAATTTTGTTGTACAATTATTTTAAGATGGACTTCTGATCTTGAAAGTTTAAAAAAGCAACGCAAATGCCTACTTGGAGATTGTTTGCTTGGTGCAGCTTTTTTAAGTTATTTAGGTGCATTCAGTTGGGAGTTTCGTAACAGTTTGTTGCGTAAAGAATGGGAAAATGATATTGCTACAAAACAGATACCTAAAAGCAATCCTTTTAAAATAGATGAACTTTTAACAAGTGATGTTGAAATTAGTCATTGGACATCTGAAGGTCTACCACCGGATGAACTTTCTATTGAAAATGGTGTATTAACCACTCAAGCAAGTCGGTATCCTTTGTGCATTGACCCTCAGCAACAAGCTTTAAATTGGATAAGAAAAAAAGAGGAAAAAAACAATCTAAAAGTAAAAATTTTTTAAAAAAATTGAGAAAGTAACTTATTGTAGTTGATAATGTTAAAAACTACAAAACTTCTGATTTTTTTTTAGATACTAACATTCAATGATCCTGATTTTTTTTAGATACTAACATTCAATGATCCAGATTTTTTAAAACAGCTTGAGCTAGCCATTAAGTATGGCTTTCCTGTGTTGTTCAAAGATGTAGATGAATATATTGACCCTGTCATTGATAATGTACTTGCAAAGAATACTAAAGGTTTTGTATTTTTATGTTTAATTTTTGTCTTAATGTTTTTTTGTTTATTTTTTTACTTTTATCATTTACTATGATAATATGGTTTGGTGGTGCTTAAACAATATATTTCTGCATTAATTACTAAAATTTATTAGTTAATTGAATCATATAATAAGTAATAATAATAATAAATCACTACCAAATCTTTTTTGGCATAGGCACAGTAATATGTGTTTTTTAAATTTTATTTATTTATACTCTTGTCAATCTAAGAGATTTCTTAACCTTTTATTTTGTCTATATTCTTTTTCTATATATTTTCTGTCTATATCCTTATGTCTCATACTCAAGTCTTTTGATAATGTAATATCTTTCCTTTTCTCGACTAAGTGGATGTGTGTGAGTAAATTTGATTAAAACATTCTCTTCTACATAAACTCAACCTCTTAATTTAAAAAAAAACCCTGTTTATTGCTCTTTATAACTAATCCATAGCAATTTTGAGTCAGTTATTTAGTTATTTTATAAAATTCAAATTTGCAAGGCAAATAACAAGCAGTTGTCTACAAAGATTGTATACTCTTTCATTTGAGTGTGAGGGGATTGAAATAAAGTTATCAAATCCTCTTTTCACATTATTCGTTATTATTTTCCACAACTTAACTAATTTATTTTACACACATATTATATTCTCATTATTTTTTACTCACGCACACATATTATTTTTGATTATTTTGATAAAAGAGGAAAAGTGTTAATGCTTATATTGATTTATTTGGCTGTTCATATTTAATTTTGTGTAGCTTTTTAACTTCAATTTTAATTGACTCCTTGTTATCAAAAGACAACCAGAACATGTGCTCTACAAGAGGAGGAAATTCTAATCTTGTCAAAGTGTGCATAAATAGATAATAAATGTCTTTGTTGAGCTTATAATTAGGTTATAAAAACTTATATTAGTTACCTATAATATACAATTATTGAAAATAAATTTCTTTAGGCGAAGATGGTCAAAAAGTCATTACACTTGGTGATAAAGAAATTGATTATGATCCTGCTTTTAAGCTATATTTAAATACAAAAATATCAAATCCTAAATTTACTCCAGCACATTTTGGAAAGTGCATGGTAGTTAACTATACTGTTACTTTAAAGGTAAAATGATACTTTTTTGTCATTATATTGATTATTAAAGTTTATTCTCCAAACAATAATAGAAACAATGTCAGAGTTAATAAAAGGATTTTTTGATTCTAAAAATTATCATAAACAAACAATGACATAAGTTAACGTAAAAGTTAAAAAGATATTATGAATATTTAATCTGACTAGTACTACAACCCTCGGAATTAGGAAAAATAAGGTTGGCAATAATTTGCCGACCTCGATCTTTTTGAGGTCGGCATGAGGTCGGCAAAAGTTATTTGATATAAAGGTCTGACCATAAAACATAGAAACGAGGTTGGCAATTTTCAGCCGACCTCAAACACTTTCAGGTCAGCAGTTAGGTCGACATTGCCGAATGCTGACCCTAATTCCAAGGGTTGGTACTATGATAAGCATAACTTAACAATCAATTTTTTTTAGGGACTAGAAGACCAACTTTTAAGTGTTATTGTTGGTTTTGAAAAAAAAGAACTTGAAGAGCAAAGAGAAAGACTTATACAAGAAACTAGGTATTTCAAGTTATTGAATTTTTTTTTTAATATTAATAAAAATAACAAAGCATAATGTAAAAAACAAACAAATATATTCAAGTATGTTCAAATCAGGAAACAGTCTATAAGCAATCATATTATGTTCGCTTTCTTATAAACAGAAAGTCTTAAACTTTTAGTATATCTTTTACGCTATTTATGAATTTTATTTTAAAACATTTTTACTTAGTTATAACAAACGTCTTCTAAAAGATCTAGAAGATACTTTACTTCGAGAGTTAGCTACTTCAACTGGAAACATGTTAGACAATGTTGAGCTAGTTCAAACACTTGAAGAGACAAAAGCTAAAGCTACAGAAGTATTTTAAATTATATTTTAAAAGACTAAATTAATTTGAAACATTAATATAGTCACAGATTAACATTTTTGTTCTTCAACATTGTTATTGTTATTGTTCTTCAACATTGTATTGTTAGCAATATTTTGTTTAAAATTTGTTAAAAAACATTTAGAGTTTTAATGAATAGTTTAGGATGCTAATATATAGTCTATTTCTTTACTGATCTTCTGTCTGTTTTACAACTTTTATACAATCTAACATTTTTGAAATTAAATTTTTCATAATTTGAAATTAAATTTTTCATAAAATCAAAATTTTCTTTAACTGTGATTATTAATTGGAAGTTTTTTATTTAAAAGCAACAAAATATTACAATAAAAAGTTTTATCATGTAGGGTTTAGTCACAAATATTTTATAAGATATGCAGATGTATATTATTTATCTTTGACTTGTAAAACTAACTGACTGGTAAAACTATCTATGAGTCAATTGCAGATAATTCTAAATAGCTATGATGTGAATTTGAATTGATTAAAATTAACATATAGAGGTCTTTTTTTTAACACCAAACTTAATAATAACTTTATCATATATTTATTATATTATAGCATAATTTTGATTGTATGCAGCATAACAACATGTTTTATAGAACTTAAAAATGATCAATCTTAACTTCTAATAAAAATAAAGGTTTAAATTATTTAAATTCTCTTTGTTTATTAACATTTGTGTCATGTAACTATAGTAGCTCAACAGTATTTGCTACTTCAGATTTATATCTAATGTTTTCAAGATAATGATTTAAAGATAATGAAAAAATAATGATTATAAAAAAAAGTAATTACTATTTTTTTAATAGATCTCTTTCTTATATAGATACTATTGGGCCAACCCCTAACCCGTCACCTGCAAAATAATTTTCTTTTTAGTTTATTTAATTACTATTTATTTTGTTTTTTTATTTGAAATTTTCTTAATGATAATAGGTTGCTGAGAAGCTAAAGCTTGGTGCAAAAACAGCTATTGATATTGATAAACTACGTGATGGTTATCGGCCTGCTGCAAAGCTTGGTGCTGTTCTTTTTTTTGTTTTGGTAGAAATGTCAACAATAAACTCTATGTATCAGTATTCTTTAAACTCCTATCTTGAGTTGTTTTACATGTCTCTAAAGAAAAGCTTACCAGACTCTATACTTCCTAAACGCCTAAAAAGCATAATGGATACACTTACTATTAATCTGTATAACTATGCATGCACAGGCAGGTTTTTATTACTGTAAACTTTTTTTGAATCTGTGTCTTAAAGTATATGTAAGTTATAAAAGTAGAGTTTGTTTAGGTTTATTTGAGCGTCACAAATTGTTGTTTTCATTTCAAATGGCTATAAAAATTTTGCAAGCTGATAAAAAGCTTCCTCAAGAAGAACTTGATTTTTTTATAAAAGGAAATATTGCTCTTGAGAAAACATCTCAAAAAAAACCTTTTCAATGGCTATCTGACCAAGGTTGGGAAGATATTATTAAATTAAGCACTGTCTCGCATTATGTTTTTTCAACACTACCTGAAGATATTTCACAAAATGAAAAACTGTGGAGTGAGGTTGGTTTTCAATGTTTATAATTTTTTAAAAATAAAGTTGTTTAAAAATGCTCGTAACTTAGTCTTAACTATGTTTATAATTTATATGCATTTTTGTGTTTTTTTAAAAAATGATAAAATTTAATTAATTTCCTCAATTAAATTTAATGGTTTTTACATAATTGCAAAAATATGCATTTGATTTTGTCTTCTTTAAACGCAAAGAGTCATAAAGAGCCATTTTTTACCACAAGCAATAAGTTTAAATGTAAAACTATAGGAACATATATAGTGTGACATCTAAATTTACTGTTTTTGGAAAAAAATGGCTCTTAACTGACAAATAGGTGAAACATGCAAGGAGTGCTGCTACATAAACTAAAAAATAGATAGAACATATGAGGAATGTTGCTAGATTGACTGACAAATAGGTACATATTTGAGGAGTACTGCTACATTGAATGACAAATATGTAGAACATGCAAGGAGTGCTGCTGCATTGACTGAGCATTTTGGTTTGGGCAGGCAGGTTACCAATTAAAAAAAAACTAAATAAAGGTTTTAAACTTTTCCCGGTATTTCAATTGAATTAAAAAAAAAAAGAAACATAAAATATGCATTTTATGGTAAAAGTTAAAGATGGCCAAGCAAGCAATATATACTCCTATCTTGAGTTTCCCATTGATATTTTGAAAGCGTGGTTAAATTTATATATATATATATATATATATATATATATATATATATATATATATATATATATATATATATATATATATATTGATTTTTTCAATTTTTTTTTTCAATAATGATTATCATTATATTTATTAAATTAGTTATCAGTATATATCAGTTATCAATTTTATATTTTTTACTATTTACTAATTGATTATATATAAGTTATCAATTATAGATGATAATTGATTTTAGAATAAAAATTTTGAATTTTTACTTTATGAAAAATTTAGAATAAAATATTTTGAATTCTGTTACTTTTATGCTTTAAAGGAAACATGTATAATTAAAGTTATTTTTATAGTATTATATAAAAAAATTTTCTCTAGTGGAATAACAATGACTCTCCAGAAACATGTGCTTTGCCATTGAAATATAATGAAATACTTACAGATTTTCAAAAGCTTCTTCTATTGCGCTGTTTTCGTGTTGATCGCATTTATAGAGCTATTACTAATTTTGTAATGATTCAATTGGGTGAACAATTTGTGACTCCCCCAATGATATCATTTGAAGCCATTTTAGAGCAATCATCTCCTTTATCTCCAGTTATATTTATTTTAAGTCCTGGTTCAGATCCTGCCAGTGAACTTATGAAACTGGCTGAGAGAAGTGGATTTGGTGTTAACAAACTTAAGTACCTAGCAATGGGACAGGGTCAAGAAAAGGTGACAATCTATTTATTATAGTTAACTTTAAACAGTGTATATAAGTTTATATGATAAAAATTATAACTCGATTGAAAATTAAAATAATTAGTTTTCAATATTTTTTCATTTGAGTTTTGTTCAAATAAGTATAGAAACTTGTATTTTCCTGTAATGTATTATGTATGACTTTTTAAACATATTTTTTAGTGTAATTAGTTGATGTATGTATTGATTTGAGTTTTATTTTATTTATTATTGAGTTTGTATTATTTTATTGTATTGTTTTATAAATGTGTTTATAAAGAGATTTTCTTTAGCCTGCACTTCTACTGTTAGAAACAGCTGTTAGTCGTGGCCACTGGTTAATGCTGCAAAACTGTCATTTACTGGTTAATTGGTTGAGGGAGCTAGAAAAAATACTTGAGAAAATTAGTAAGCCACACCCTGATTTTCGACTATGGTTAACTACTGATCCAACACCAGAGTTTCCTATTGGTATAGTGCAATGTTCCCTAAAGGTAAATAATGTATTTTGAAACTATTAAACTAATTAAGTGTGGTTAAAATAAGAACTGAGTTTAATATTCCTACTCCATGCAATCTTTATCACATCAGTTTGAACATATTCTTTTTTGGTTTAACCTATAACAAGATATGAGGTTCACTAAAAATTCACTGTAAAAAATCTTGAATAAATAGTATTAAAGTGCAAGGAAATGATTGACAGAAGACTTAAAAAATTGTAGGGCATATGTGCCAGTAAAACATGAAGATGGTAGTATATTTAAATAAATATAAAACAGTATTTGACAACAGTATTCTCTGTATGGAATATTGTTGTCAAATTTGACAACAGTATTTGATACTGAATGGATAATAAGAGGTTTGTAAAGGTAAAAGTATTTGATATGGGGAGGAGTAAGATTTGTAAAGGTTTGTAAAGGTAAAGAGTTAAATCAGGAACAAGAATACAGCGAGCACGATAAAGATAAGCAACTTATGTAGATAATAACTTTGCAATGAATATATGTTTTGCAATAAATTTATATGGTTTCCTAGAGAGATCAGTATTGAATGATTATTCAAGATGTTAAATAGAGGACTCAGTGAGAAGGTTGTCATCAAAATAGGAATGTATAATATGATTTATAGTTTCTATCTTACAAGTTAAAATTAAGTAAACTTGTAGTAAAAGGAAATAAATTGTGTGTTATGTGTTTAGGTTGTTACGGAACCACCAAATGGTTTAAAGTTAAACTTAAGAAGCACAATTCAAAAAATTAGTGCTTTGTCTTTGAATCATTGTCCACATGAAGCATTTACTACTTTGGTTTATGTATTGGCTTTCTTTCATGCGGTTGTCCAAGAAAGAAGAAAGTATGGCAAAATAGGTATTTTTTATGATATCATTATAGTGTTTTTAGTTAAGAATTATTTTGTTATTTTTACAACACACCTTCTTGAAAATTTACCCATTTATTTTAGCAGTTATGCTAATTTAATATGATTTCTTCATTGCTGTCTATTTTTTAGAACACATTTAATGCTTAAAAAAAATTTTGAAATGTTATATGTGATTATGTGCATTATTAAAAAAAGTTTATAATAGAAAAAAATATTTTTTTTTTACTATAATTAATATTTTAAAAATTTATGAAATAATTTTGTATTGTGTTATTTATTCATCAGGTTGGAATATTGCCTATGACTTCAATGAATCAGATTTTTTTGTATCTATGCAACTTATGGATACATACTTGAGTAAAGCCTATGAACAAGCTGATTCTAAAATTCCTTGGGCTAGTCTAAAATATCTTGTTGGTGAGGTAATTAAATAAAATTCAAAAACACAAAATTTCAAATTCTATTTTAGAATTCTATTTAGAATTTTATGTAAGTGTAAAACAATTTATATGCTTAAAAACTATTTTCTTTCAATCAGGTGATGTATGGTGGAAGAGTAATAGACAACTTTGATCGTAGAGTTGTAAACACATATATGGATGAATATATGGGAGATTTTATATTTGATACTTTTCAACCTTTTCATTTTTATCACGATGATAAAGTTGACTACTTTATCCCAAAATGTCCAGAAAATGCTGCTCCTAAGAGTGTTAAGCAATCTACTGACAAATCAAAAGGTTTAACTATATATTTATATATATATATATATATATATATATATATATATATATATATATATATATATATATATATATATATATATATATATATATATATATATATATATATATATATATATACAACCCTCAGAATTAGGAAATATCAGGTTGGTAATAATTTGCTGACCTCATTTTGTTAGAGGTTGGCATCAGGTCGGCCTAAAAAAATTTGATACAAAGTTCTTAAGTAAAACAGAAACAAGGTTGGCAATTTTTTTTATCTATCTGCCGACCTCAAACACTTTAAGGTCGCCATTCGGCAATACCAATCCTCATTCCCAGGGTTATATATATTATGTAAAAGTGTTGTGGTTATCTGTTTGTCTGTGGACATTTTCTTTTTACAAGTTTAACTTGAAAACTATGTTACATAAAAAAAAGTGAAAAATGTACTTTGTTTATAATCAATTTGAAAGTGATCTTAGCAAAAAAAATAAAATTAAAAAAATTCATTTAATAAAATTTTGTGATCTTTTGGTGAAAAAAAAATTGGACTAGTTCTTACTTTCAATTGCATTAATTTAATTTGTAGGCTATCCTACAAATTAAATTAATGCTGATAACTTTTGACTTGAAATTAAACTAACGTTAAGTAATGTATTTAACTTAAATTTTTTTTACTTTTGCAACTTGTTTTTACATCACTAACACTTGTGCCGAATATTTAAAAAAAAATTATTTAAAACATATTGTGTTATACATTTTATATTGGCAGATATATAGCAAGTTGCTTTGTTTTTTCATATCTACTCCATAAGTATGTAGCGGGTTACATACTTATGTAGTAGCTATGTTTAGGGACACAAGCTATGTATGTATGTAGTAGATATGTAGCTGGCTATGTAGTAGCTGTGTTTAGAGACACAAGCTATATAGTAGATATGTAGCTGGCTATGTAGTAGCTATATTACAGGTTATGAAGTAGCTATATAACAAGTTATGTTAAAGTATGTTATATCATAGCTATGTAGTGGGCGGGTAGCCTGCGGGCTATGCAGTACCTGTATATCGTCCTTGTTTAAAACTATATAGGGGGCTATGTAGTAATTATTTTCTAGAAAGAATAAAAATTTAAATAAATTCTAATTTAAAGCAGCAACTAATTCTTCTAGCAGTTGTGCAGGCTATTTTGTTAGTATATATATTTATTATATATATATATATATATATTTATATTTATGATATATATATGTATGTATATATATATCATAAATATATATATATATATATATATATATATATATATATATATACATGTACATGTATATATATATATATATATATATATATATATATATATATATATATATATATATATATATATATATATATATATATATATATATATACATATATATATATATATATATATATATATATATATATATATATATATATATATATATATATATATATATATATATATATATATATATATATATATATATTATTTTTACTTAGATACATTTTTTTAAAGCTTTTTTATCTATATTTTTTCTATAAACATATTACTGTTAAGCATATAAATTTAATCATAAAATCATTTAATTATAAATTTTAAACATAAAGTTTTTAAATATATAAACATAAAATGTTTAAACACAAACATAAAGTTTAAAAATAAAGTTTTGCTTATGTGGTATGATATTGTTTCTGTATCATGCAACCATTAATTTAGGTGTATTCTTTGCAGGGTAGGTAAATGAATTAAAATAACCATTGAAGAAATGTATATTAGGAATAGGGGAGACCAAGACTTGTTGGCAGCAAAAGCTCTGAAGATAAATGCAGTTGACGAACTGCATTTATCTTCAGAGCCTTCCATCAGAATACGATAAAAAATTACACAGAATCTTCCTAATTAACCATTTCATCATTCATTATAGTATTTTTAGGATTCGGCCATGCGCATGGGAGATATTAAGATTTATGTGTTTTTTGGACAAAAAGGTAACTTCTGAAACATCGCTTCCTTTTTACTTTACACAGAAAATAGTTAGTTGTATGAAAAAAAAAAACCCAAATTCATACTCTTTGAGACTACACTTTAATATTTTCAAAATAATGTGCTGTTAGGGCTACAGAGCTCATAGAGTAAAAACTGAGACAACTAGCCCTGGTCTCCCCTGCATATGTATATTTAATGGTTTGATTAGAGAAATTGTGTACAAAGAGATCATTTTTATGTAGTTTTTCTTAATTGCTGCAATCTATTTTAAATATATATTGAGCTAAACAAATGTAATTCAAAAATTCTTATTGATTTCAAAGAAGTTACTTCGTGGAAATTCAGTAAAAAAATTGAAAGGCAAAGCACAACACAATAATATGTTGCTTAATAATAAAAAATTATTTGAAAATTTTAAAAAATAATGTATACCTGAATGTTAGCTGCACATTAATGACCTATATAATAATTCTGAATAATATTCAGAATTATTACATAGCTTAATTAGTCTGAAAAGTCACAAGGTTTTTGAAATTTCTATGCTGCTGTCGTTTAGCATTGCCACAGAACTATACAAACAACATTGCTGTCTTTATGTAAATAAGTAAAATGTTACATTTTTGCTTCTTTAAAAAAAAAATTATAACTTTTAAATTAAGGCCTAAAATTTAAAAAAAAAAATAGTTACCTAAAATCATAACCATTAAGACAATTACCTAAAATGAAACTAATAACTCATATGCACTAGTATTATTTAATATATTATTAGTATTATTACTATTTGTGACAATAGTCTAATCATTTACATGCTTTAAAGAAACAAAACCTTCATTTAATACCAAAACTTTCATATCAGGGCATCTTTAGGACTAAAAGTTTAACTGCAGATAATTGTAAAGATTTAAATTGTTTAGTTGTGAACTTGAACTTTTGGCATCATTTTATGATTTTTTATTTCAAAACATGAGACAGTTATCAAACTTCTGGATATGATTGAAGATAAAAAGATTGGGAAATAAATAAAACCACAAAGCAAAATTTAATCTAGCCACAGGCTTAGAGTGTTAATAATAAAGAATCTACAATGAAAACTTATTACTTTTATTAAAACACAAATTTTCTTTTCTGTAAAATCAGATCGTTTGTGGCTCAGCCACAAAGCTCTTTTGTACAGTGCAATGATTATAATTGCTGCATAATTTAAAATTACTTTAGCGTGGTTATTGAATAGATTTATTTGATGTTTAGCATAAATTTTAGTGTTATTACTACAGTTTAAAGACGATATTTTATAGAATTTTAGTAGTCATAGTGTCTATTATGGATATTAAAACAAATAAGTGAAAAGCTTTTTTACTGTAGTAACCCTCGAATTCGGAGAGGTAAATACAGTTTAAAAAAATCTTTTTATTAAATTAGTGTTGTTACGACGTGAGTTTAATCGCGATATCTATATTGATGCTATTGAAGCTTTACCCCTAAATAATTCACCTAATGTGTTTGGTTTACATGCCAATGCTGAGATTAGATATTACACTAAAGCAGCGAAAGGTAAAACATTTATTTTAATTTTATTCTTTAAACAGTTAATTTTTTCTTTTTTTTTAGTTTAAAGAAAAGGTTCTATAATATGTAATTAAAAAATTTAAATTTGTTTTTAATAATACTATAAAATTAATAATTATAATTTATAAATTTTTTTGTTTAAAATATTTAGATAAGTGGTCTCACTTAATTTTTTGTTTAATGTAATTTAGATATGTGGAGTCACTTAATTGAGCTGCAACCACAGACAGATGTTGATACTGGTGGTATTAGTAGAGATGAATTTATTGGTAAATTTATTTAAATCGTTTTTCACATGTAAAAATATTTTTATGTTTAAACTATTGAAATACTTTTGTTAGTATTCAATGTTGCTAGATAAATGTCAAGACTATACTTTTAAAAAGAAAGTCACAATATGAATCAGACACATTCTGTTGTAGTATTATTAAGAGATTATATTTAATCTTATAGATGGTTTTGAATGCTAAACATTTGTGGTTGAACAGTATATATATGATCTGTATATGATTTGATCTGTATATATATGTATATATATATGTAACAGTATATGATTTGATCTGTATATATATGTATATATATATATATATATATATATAAATATATAAATATATATATATATATTTATATATATGTATATATGTATATATATATATATATATATATATATATATATATATATATATATATATACATATATATATGTATATATATATGTGTGTGTGTATATATATATATATATATATATATATATATATATATATATATATATATATATATATATATATATATATATATATATATATATATATATATATACATATACTTTTGTAATGAGAGTCTTATATTTTATTATAGTCTAATATTTTTACATTTGAAAAATTATTTTGTTTAATTATATGAGTTTTATCTTCATACTTTTAAAGGAAAAACTGTTGCTGATATTCAAAGCAAGATTCCTCGTTCTTATGACATAGCTGCTGTGCGAAAGAAAATGGGTGACGAAATCTCTCCAACATCCGTTGTTTTATTACAGGAGCTTGATAGATTTAATCTTTTAATCAATAAAATGTCTGTAACACTGATCAACTTAAAAAGGGTAAATTTTTTTGTACCGACATATTTTAATTAAAACATTTTTTTATTAGACTATTCATTTTTAATTTTAAAATAATATAAATAAAATAAGTTAGTATAATATTATTTTTGTTGTTGTTGTTGGTTTATTTACTGTTACATTTATGTTATTTTTATACTAAAATAAAAAAATGTTTTGAAAATTTCAATTTTACTTTTTACTTAGGCACTTGCGGGGGAAGTTGGGATGGATAATGAATTAGATGATGTGTCGCGTGCCTTGTTTAATGGCCAAATACCACAAAGTTGGAAAAAGTTGGCACCTGCTACTCGTAAAAGTCTTTCATCATGGATGGATCATTTTATGCTAAGACATTTACAATACAAGAGCTGGGTATAGTTAAATGTTCATTTTTGAGTGTATAACTATATATCCTAAATTTTAAATGCTGTTTGCTATAAATGCTAAAATTCGTTTTGCTAGATAGAGGAGTCTGAACCAGCTGTAATTTGGTTATCAGGACTTCATGTTCCAGAATCTTATCTTACTGCCCTAGTTCAAGCTGCTTGTCGAAAAAACGGCTGGCCTCTAGATCGCTCTACGCTTTACACTACAGTTACTTCATTTGAGAAAAGTAATGATGTCACAGAAAAACCTGCTTTAGGCTGTTTTATTAAAGGATTGTATTTAGAAGGAGCTTCTTGGAGTTTGGAAAAATCAGCACTATGTAAACCACTACCAAAGCAGTTAACATGTGAACTTCCTATATTAAGAGTAATACCTATTGAAAGTCACAAATTAAAATTGAAAGTAAGTTAATTGTGAAAACCAGTATATCCTCTAATTTTTGTAAACGCCGCGAAAGAGTTTTGTGACTCATGGTTTTAATTAAAATTCAAACCAAATTGGAAATTATTTTATCATGTGTTTCCAGCTTAGCTCTTATGCGCGCGCGCGCAAACAAAACATAAAATAAACACTTGTGCAAGTTTTTATTGTCTTAACCTTATTCAAATGAACTCATAAAATGTGTTATCTTTTTATGGTTTTAATATTTTATAATATTAATTTCACACTACTGTTTATCTAGAATACACTTCGAACACCAGTGTATGTGACATCTGAACGCCGGAACGCTATGGGTGTTGGCTTAGTATTTGAAGCAGATCTTACAACTTATGAACATCAATCGCATTGGATTTTACAAGGGGTGTGTCTGACTCTAAATTCCGATTAAATATATATATATATATATATATATATATATATATATATATATATATATATATATATATATATATATATATATATATATATATATATATATATATATATACACACACACACATATGTGCTATAACACATATGTGCTATAACACAAATGCATATATGCTATAACACAAATGCATATATGCTATATATATGTAAATATTTTAATGATTTTTTAAGCAAATTGTTATATTATTAATTAATGATATTAGTTGTATTTATAATGATTATAATTATATATAAAAAATATTTATAGAGATTTTTAAGTATTGAACTAATACTGTTAATCTTTTAAAAAAAAAAATTTCAATATCCTTTTTTTTCCCTATTTTATTAGTTTTTATTTGTATTTTTGTTATTAATTTAAAAAAAAATATATGTTGTATCATGTGATGAATGAGCCAATGTTTTTGTAAAATATTATTTGTGTAAAAAATTCCTTCGTCAAACTTTTTTGACGAATCCGATAAAATAATATTTTAAATGATTGTTTATTCGAATTGTTTCCATGGAATAAGTGAATAGTCATTGAAAAACCACGACATTATGGCAGCGTGAAAACTGAACACCTAATATTCAAACTATTTTGAATAGATATTAAAAATAAATAGAATGGAGAATTAGTGATTATTTAATGCTGGTTTACGAACTGAGTTCTCCATTAGTTATCACGGAAACAAATCAAACTTTAATTTATTTTTTTTCCGAAGAATTTACGTTGTGCCATTTGGTTTAAATGTCATTTAAATTTTTACATAATAATTGTGATTGTGTAATTTTCTTCTGATAATTGTTATCGGTATGACAGCTAACAATGTGGAAGAACAACACCAAGAAAACGATTATATTTTCTCACAAGCAGATCAGCTAATAAAAGAGAATAAAGTTGAAGAGCAACCGACATTTTTAAATGAACGTAAGAATGAAAATTTTTTTTAATAGCGGATTTCTTTTCTCCGCTTGTAAAAATTAAACATCTTTAAACTTTATTTGTAACTTTTTGGCAGAAAGAGGTTCGCTTATTGACATTTCATAATAATTATTCTCAAATACTCCTTCTACATTAGTTAACTTTTAAAATCATATAGCAGACATTGATAGACTTATATTGTAAGGAGAAAAAGTTATTTAATTTGTACATTATTCGAATTTTGATTAAAGTCACAACACTATACTTAAAACTCTTATATAGTCTGTTACCATTAATATGATATAGCTTTTATATATAATAATAAAGTAAATGCAAATAATTATGTATGTTTGAATAAATTATTACCATATTTACCCCAACAAAAATTGCACAGAACATATTACTTTCAAAAATGTTACAATAAATTATTTAAAATTATTATAATATTTTGAGGTTTTGTCAATGTTTATTGTTGGTTGTAGTTGCAAAGTTGATAAAAACTGAAAATAGTTATATAAAGTTGTAAAAATGTCAAAAAACTTACAAATAGAACACTTGTTCATAATGCTTACTAAAAAATTGTGCAGATTGTATTCGTATAAGGACTTCACCCAGTGGACACGGGACGTAAAAAAGATCTCTTTTGAACGTTTTGAGCGTCTTTTTTGAACATTCAAAAACCGTTATTTTTAGGTCCTGTACCCACTGAGTGGTAATGCATGATTTCAGACATTTGCCAGTTGTATTGAAGTTATTATTGATTGTATAACTAATTTTTCATTGTTGTTAAACGTTTGGCGCTTTATCTGAAAACTAGTTGTTGGCTCTCTCATCTCTATTATCTACATAATGAAGATAAGTCGGTTGAGTTTGTTTCTTTAAACTTTATTAAAGTTTCTCAAGCGTGTTATTGTAATTCTTTGTTATTTCTTTCGTGCAAGAACGGGTCCTAAAAAGGTAGTTTACTTTTTTTCTACTTTGGTTTTTAACTTGTAGTACCACTAGTTCACAAAAAAGTATGGTTTTTAACTTGTAGTTCACTATTTATCAAAATATTGGTTATTCCTTTGGAAAGTAAAGCGTTTGTTTTAATTAAATAACCAATAATATGAACCCTAAAGATGTCATCAAAATCAAAACATGGGTTTTTTTATTTATTTATTTTAAATCGGTTTCTTTTGGGCGTCGTTTTAGTATTTTTACAAATAATTAATACTGAACTATTAAAGGACTTGGCTTTAAACGGTAGCCTATATTGCACAAGTTGACCATATTATACATATTATACTTAACTATATATTGCATGTGTATATGTCGCATGATCATAAAATGCATCTGTATAAGTTATTTAACAAAGATATTTTAATGGAAATCTTTTACTATATTTGATCTTCTATTATTTTTATACATTGGAGTTATAGACTTGTCGTTGATTTAATAAGATTTTCAACATCTTAATTGAAATTAGCTGCTATTATTTCTACATGTTTAAGAGTTTTAATTGCTTCCGCGGGAGTAAAATGAAATAAATTTTATTTCCAGATTACATAAAAACAGCTTAAAGTTCTTATTTCAAAGTTACTTGAAATCTTACAATAGGACCAAGTTTAATAACTTGGTTTAGTTGATGTAATCATGTTCAATGTTATTAAACCCAGAGATGACTTTTCTTATGCTCCACAGATGACTTTTTCGCTTTAAAATTGCTTTACAATGGTCAATTTTTTAAAACTTTTAGTTCTAAGCAGCCAACTTTTTTATGAAATTTTATTTCATTTAAGAAAACACAAGTGACGTTGGTCTGATAGTGACTCAAAAAACCTTACTAACAGATGAGTCTCAAAAACGTTTGGAAGTCTGAAGAAAAATTAAAAAAATGTCAAGTCACTTTTTATCATCAGAAGTTGTTATATCTACGTCAGTAAACGTTTCGGCAGTTATTGCCGTTGTAGTGTTTTCAGATACCATATATCTATGTGAGAAAATGTTACACTTTAAAGAAACAAGCAATAGCAATAAAGCTTGTATACACACATTAACTTCATACATATTTATTAATATAAAAGCTAGACTTTATCCACACATTCACACACGCAGAGGGTGTGTGTACATATAACTTGATATAACTTGATTTATAACCGATTATACCTTAAAAATTGCCTTCTTTGGGGCTATGATACCCTTACGCCTTACCGTAAAAATGCTCTTGCACACATACACGCTCTTACATGTGTAATATATATGGCGTTGTAATCTTTTTATTAGCTTCACTCGGCTCCACTAAGTGTAAAAGTATTTCTTTATTGCTCTATCATTTGATTTTATTTTATTACTAAAAGTTTATTCTTCTAACCAAGAAGGTTAAGAGATATCACCCCCCATTTTAAAATATATACAATAGGAAAAATTTTTTGACATAAAGTAAACTCAAAGGTTAAACACATCCATCTCGAGTTTTGGTTTTTTTAATTTAACTTTATTGTCGCTATTTTTGATACGTTTTTCAGGATCTTTTTTCCTAGTTTTGTCTCCTGATTTCAACCTTTTCGTGCAATTTTTTTAAATAAATTATATTTTTTACATTTGTAAAAGTTAAAAGAAAAAAAGTAAATTAAAGGAAAACAAATTCTTTGGTTTCCTTAAGACAGCCAAAACTACGAGTTTTTTAACAAATACTCTCAAAAATTGTAATAGAAGTTTATTTGATTATAGCTGAGGGTCTAAACGTGTTCTGGATTTGATCCCGCCAGTAGAGCTTCATCTTCTTTTCAAGATTGTTAACCTTTTATAAAGTGTTGGCCATAAGCAAAATATAGACTTGGAAAGCTAAATATTTACATGCAGCCATTTTACAGCGGTCCACTTGGGAAAAGATTGCAGAAAAAGATTGCAGTAACCTGTTAAAGTTTATTGACATTGTTGCTGTACAGTAGAATTTTTTTGAAAATTTTTTTGAAAATTTTCAAAAAAATTTTTTCATGGAAATATTTCAAATTAAATATGAATATCTCCTTTGTACAAAATAAAAAGAATTTCATGCTTTTCCATATTTCTTTCAAAGTTTATTAAGACTCTGATGCTAAAATATGTTTTTGATTAAATCTAGTGAAAAAAATAGTCGTTTTTTCAAAAGTAAACGTTCTTCATTTTATAAAATTATCTGGCTTTATTTAGTTTTGGCCATCGTAAATTAGTCCAGATGAATCTTGAAAAATTTAAAATTGAAATGCGTTTTATATGTTCTAATGACTGAGTTAAAAAATTATAAATCAAAGGCACAAAAAGCCATCTTTGAATCAATTAAAAAAATCTTTTAATTTACAAGCTGAATTATTGCAAATTTCAAATTAACATCAAATTTAAAATAAATTAAATTTAAATCAAATTTAAAATTTAAAATTACTTCAAATTTAATATAATTTAGTATCATTTAATATAATTTAATTTAATATAATTTAATATAAACACCTAGAGTTAAAAAACTTTAGAAAAGATTTGTTTAAAGTTAAATATTGTTTGTCACCGGTGACTTGGCTAATTCCTTCGTGGCTATTACTGATGCGACAGTATGTTCAGATTCAATTGGACTTTTTAAAACCAATATTTGCAAGTTTTTCCAACAATTTTTTTCAGGTTTAATTTTCAACCATTTTTTCGGTTTGTTGCGTGAATGTTGAATGAATCTCAAGATCCCCTTTCACTTCTTCAAATCTTTCAAGTTTTTTGTTATTTGGCAAAATATAAAAAAAATTAATTTTTTTTTTTTTGTACCCATATTGAAAGGAAACAGAAGCTTTGAAAACAAAACCTTTTCACCTAAGGAAAAAACTTATTTTGGAGACAAAAAACATTTTGTAAATTCCAAAAACAACGTAAAAGTTTGTTTTTTAAAAAAAAAGAAGCAAGATGAATATAAAATTAATAGAATAAACTAAAAAAACTTTGTGAGAGCATTTACATCATCAATTTTATAATGACTTGCTTTATCTTTAAAATGTAAAAAAAAACCAAAATAATAAAAAAAAAGAACAACTTGTTTCTGGTGCAGTTGAACTCTGTTAATTCAAACTATAATTTGAAAGATTATTAAAATCTTTAAAGCAACTAGATTTAAACGCGCTAGACAACCGAGCCAAACAGACAGATGACAATTATTAATATTATAATAACAATCTTGTACTGTATCTAGAAACTGATCTACTAGTACTGATCAAGAAAGTTTTTAAAAAATAAATCGCAACAATATATTACAGATAACATATTGCGCTCTAAGCTTCGTGAACAGTAAAGCACTCAACACTGGCTCTAAAAAATCATAATACAAAATATAAAAATACTTTGTTTCTTGCACCGTGTCTCTTTGATAGTAACGCCATTAAAAAAGATTTTTTATTAAGGGCGTTACAATCTTTTTTTAATTTTTTTTTTTTTTTATTAATTTAAAAAAAGATTAAGGCAAAAAAAATTTTTTTATTTCTTTCTGAAGGAAAAGTTATATTTTAAAATTTAATTAATGGTTTCATAACATATAGCTAACGAAATTGAAAGCGAAACCACTGTAAACCAGGAAAGTGAACCACCTACAGAAAAGGATGAAGCAATAAAGGTGACCAAAGAATATGAAGATAAAGAATACTTTGAAAAACCAAAATATATTGGAGAAGATGAAAAAACATCGGTGGTAAATTTAATTTCTTCACTTTTTTTTTATATTCAGGTTTTATTTGTTATATGATTATATGATTCAACATCTTACAAAATGCACTAAAACTATGATAATAATTAATTGCTTCAGTTAACAACAAATTAATTGCAACAGCTAACAACAAAATAATTGCCTCATTTAACAATAAATTTGAGAGAACAAAGCTACAAGACAATATTGTATCAAAACCAACAACAGGAAGATTTATAGTGCGATGTGTTTCAAAAAAAAAACTCACGTATTTTATAATAATTGTAACTAATAGTAATGAACATATAGAGCTAAGAAAAGTCGAAAAAGATTTGGGTGTTTTTATAACTAATAATAAACTAAACTGACACAGTCAAGTACTAAAAGTTGCAAACCATTCCAACAAAATTTTGAGTATACTTAATGGGCCATAGGAATCTTGGAAGTTTTAAAATCGGTACTTTTGAACAATATTATACAAATTTCAACTAAATGTATGCAAGAAAATATACTAACTGTATATAAAACAATAAATAGTTGAAATGATGAAACCGTTACTTTAAAAACGAGGAATAGCTTTAAAAGCTAAAAATTTACACGGAGTTCTTAGATAATTATAAAAACTCATATAATCTGAGGAAGGTCAAAACAGGTTTACAAGCAGTTTTGCCTAATATTTAAACGATCTCAAAATACAACAGGTTTTAATTTAATAAATGTTTTTGAAATTTTTTGTTTATTTATTTGTTTTAGAATTCTTTATCAATAAGTCAGTTACGCGACAGCCCAACCACTTTACCCGAGGAAAGGCTGAAGTTTACTTTAAAGCATCCGCTTAAAAGTGATCATACTTGTCCTCAATGTAACGAAGCAATGAGATACCCAGTGCAATTTAGTGAGTGTAAACACAGAGTGTGCTCTGCGTGCTTTCATGAATTTTTTAGGTAATATTTTTTACAAACTCTATTAACTGCAATCAAAATTGTGTTTTTACAAATCTATTGATTTTATGAAGACACAGATAGATACTGCTAGTATGTTCATATATCTCTGTGCCTTTATTTACATTAAGGGTTGTCTATAAAGTACGTCATGCAGTTTTTGACCCCCTTCTCTCCTCCCCTCCTCTCTCGTTATAACATCGTAACACTTTAATAACAAATCCCGTATGAGTTATCACAAAACCACTAACACCTTCCCCAACTTTCCCTAGAGCGTGACTTAATTTGTGGAAGACCCCTTAAACTTTTATAAACATTGTTTCGTGCAATTATGTAATACCAAAGCTATACTATTTTATTAAAATTATTTTTTATGAATCATTTTATAAACCAGAATTTAGAGAACGTGAAAATGTACAGTCTAAATTTACTACTCCTTTTATGTTACACCATAATTCACACCTTTACTTTTGTTGCACCATTATTTTTTTTTTTTGGAAAAATTTAGTTAAATTTTTGCATATATTTATTATATATATATATATATATATATATATATATATATATATATATATATATATATATATATATATATATATATATATATATATATATATATAATATATATATATATATATATATATATATATATACATATATATATATATATATATATATATATATATATATATATATATATATATATATATATATATATATATATATATATATATATATATATATATATATATATATATATATATATATATATATATATATTTATATATAGGGTATATATTATATAGAATGCTTTTAAAAAGTTAGCAACACCAATTTAATGTTGTTTTTGAAATATTTACTTTTAGAACAGAACCACGATGTCCAGTAGATCAAGGAAAAATTAATCGAGAAAAGGTATTTTCTTGCTTTTATCTAATTTTTAAAATTTTTGCTAATTATCAAAACTTGAATTGAAACCTTTTTTAATATAACTTAAATCTTTTTAATATTTTGTTCTAGAATTTTATTCTTGTTCTAGGCATTTTTAGACAAGACGTTAACAGAAACTATTATGAAGTTGGAGATACTATGCAATTTTGAAGAATGGGGATGTAAATGGGAGGGAACATTTGGTGAAGGTCAGGTAATGTGCGATATAATCTAAAATATAATAATATTTTGCCATATAATTATTATTATTGGATCAAGCATTAAAACTAAACTGTTATAAAATAAAATAAAATGGTTGCGTAAAGCATCAAAGCATCATGCGTTAAGTAAGTTTACAACATTTACAGAACTTTATTTTTTACTAAAAACTTCTAGAACACTCAGATTTTTTTCTTTTTTTAGAGATAAAAAATTAGTTTACTAATAAATTATTTTATTTGATTTTTTAAGAAATAAAAATTAAATAATAACAATCAAGACTTTTTTTTAAATTATTAATTCAAAGAATCATTTGCCTTTAGTCGCACTTCGAAAAATGCGATTACACAAACATTCTATGCAATCATGACTGTGGAGCAAAGTTTCAAAGAAGATTTTTACAAAGGCACTTAGATAAAGATTGTCCAAAAAAAATAATATCATGCGCGTTTTGCGAGGAAAGATGTTTAAGAGAAGAAAAAAAGGTAAGTTGTTTAAAAACAAAATTGTTAACAAAGGTAGATTGAAATTAAATTAAGTTTATAAAGTATTTGAAATTTTAGGCTCATTTAGAAGACTGTCAAAAGGTACCTCTTCCTTGTCCAAATAAATGTGACAAAAAGCTTACTATACCCCGCGATGAACTTGATAACCACATTGAAGTTGATTGTCCTCGCACAAAGGTTTTATGCCAGTTTGAAGAAATAGGCTGCCCTCACCGAGTAAGTTTTTTCTTTTGTGTATTGTTTCGTTTGTGTGTTTTTCTATTTTGAAACTAGAGTTTAAATTTAACTTGATTTAGTGCAGCCGAGAGCGTCTTCAAAAACACAATAAAACGGGTATTATTGCGCATGTGCGTTTGTTATACGACGTTGTCATGAAACAGAGTCAACGATTGGATCAACACCACGAATTGCTACATGATCATGGAGCACTGCTTGAAGCACATCAAGCTTTAATTGATGAAATTCAGCAATCAGCAAAGTAACTAAAAAACAATTTAAATTTTTTTTTATATATGGTTTTGTTAAGACTTTTTTGTAAATATATATTTCATTGCGAAACCTGACAAACACTGATTTTTTTATTTTATTTTCAATGTTAATTTAGAACTCAGTTGGTTTGGCGAATCGAGGAATTTTCTCGCAAGATGAAAGAAGCAAAATCTGGCAATGTAACAACATTATTTAGTCCACCGTTTCACACAAGTAAACATGGTTATCGTATGTGTGCATCATTATGCCTGAATGGCGATGGAAAAGGAAAAGGAACGCATATATCAGTTTTTGTTAGTATTCTTAAAGGTAAAAAGCTAGTTTTTTTTCAATGGACTTTTTAGTGCATAGTGCAATTTTTAAAAATCGTAAGTTGTTAATTATTTTTCAGGCGCATTCGATTCTCTACTGAAATGGCCCTTTGATTATCGCATTAAATTCTATCTACTTGATCAAAACCCTGTTATTGAAAAACGCTCTCATAAGAAGTTCAATATTAAACCAAATCCATGCCAAGAAAATTTACCTTTTCTTGGATGTCCTAAGATGGAGAAAAATGCCTCTTTTGGCGCTGCAAAGTTTTGCAAGCAGTCGGATCTTGAAGACCAGCCAACTTTAGTTAAAGATGACGTCATATATTTAAAAATATCGTGTGATTGTGGTGCAGGGGCGGAGTTTTAAAAATTTAGTTTAAAAAAATTTAAAGATTGAATAAGTAAAAAATAAGTTAAACTTTTATCTTATCACATAATAAGTCTTTGATATGAAAATTTATGTTTTTATTATTTTCTATTAATAATTAATTTATTATTATGAGCGAATTCGTTAATTTTTTTTTGAACAAGATTTCAGCATCAGATAAATTTATTTTTGTGTATATCATTATTAATAAAAAAATATTATTGTAATGAATAAATTTACTATAATATCTTTGTAATTAATTTTATGTTGTTTTTTGCATTGAGTCACTAAAAGGAACTAAACTTCTAATTAAAAATTTTAATGACAAGAAAAATCTTTTTTTAAATAACAACTTTTAACAACAATTTTTAAAACTATATGTTACACTAACTCTTTTTACCATAAAAATTTTAAATACGTAACAAAATTAAAAGGGAAATAATTTTTAACTTTTTTTCTGAAACTTAAAGTTATTCAATACTTATGACTATGGAAAACATTTATAAATGTACAATGTATGGTAATTGTATAATATATGATCATGTTTTAGAATTTACTTCATTGTCACTGTTTGGTTGTAAACATAAAATGTTTAGGAAATGCAACTTAATTGTACAACATTTTCTCAGGATCAGTAATTAGGTTTCATCTCAAAATTAAAAAAAAAATTATTAAAATAAAAACAAATGTTAAAAAACTAAAATAGCGGTTCTTTGATTTTATTAGTAATTACACAAATTTCTTTCTTTTTTAAAAATCTTTTGCAAACGTATTTTTAAATAGCCTTTTTTATTCTAATTTCCAATATATAATCTTTTTTTGTTTATCATACTTGGTTCTATGTTCTAAGCACTACCTAGTAAGAACCAGGCTTGTAAGTAAAGTAAAAACATGTGGAAGTAGTTACCTCTACCATTGTGGGTATCGCATAACCTTTAAAAAAAACACATTTCTATATTCCAATTAATACAAATGTTTCAATAATGTTAATAATTGTTTTGTAATCTAAAACAAGAGGACTTATTATAAAAACAAATATTACAAGATGTATTGGCATTTTAACCATGGTCTTATGGGAAAGGACGCCTCCCTTAAAAACCAAAAGTTTAACAATTAAAAAAATGCAAAGAAAAAAAGTATTTTAAAATAAAAATTGTAACTAATCAATGTTTTCAAAATTTAACAGATAACCTAACCAAAACATTATGGTATTTTAAACTAATTAAAAATAATCTTATCCCAGTGGGAACGGACGTAAAAAAGACGTATTTAAAACGTCTTCTAAACATTTTGGACGTCTTTTGTACGTCTTTTGAACGTTTTGGACGTCTTCTGAACGTTCAAAAAACGCCTTTTTTTGGTCCGGTGCCCACTGGGATTAGCCTGCAAATATTAATTCAAAGTTTTATTTTCTTTAGGTATATATATAACGAAATGTTGCATTAGGTGACCTACCGAGCTTCCATCGCTGAACGTACCGATTATTGTGCAGTTGTGGTTTAACAGTAGGGCTTCCGGTTCGAACATGTCCTGGTTCGAACGTTCTAACTTTTGGCATTTTTTAAGAAGTTCAATTTTGAACTTTTTTTTCTAAAAATTCAAACTTATGTATATATGAAAATTAGGTTCTCTATTTTTTTAACAGTTTAACTAAAATCTTTTTTAAACTGTGAATTTTTTAGACAGTTATTGTTACTCCGAATTTTTGTTGTGAAACTTTTTTTTAAAAATAAAACACTTTTAAAGTTTAAGTCACAAATAGAATATGTAAACGAATGAATTAGAACGTTATTTTTAGGTTTCAAAATTAAAATAGTTACGTGTGTTACATATTTTTAATTGTTAAAAAAATACCATGGTAATACCCATAAAATAGTTCGTTAAAATTTCTAAATTAAAAAAAAAGACGAGTTAATATAGCTTTGACGAGCTGATAAAAGTTTTAGTTGTACGAAATAAAAAATACGTTTAAAGATGTAAATACAAATTAGAAGGACTGAGCCATGGGGCTACTTTGAACTTTCCATAGAATTACTAAGTTCAAAGTGTAAAATTTGTAAAATTATTCTCAAAACATCTGGCTCAACAACAACAGCTATTACACGGCATTTTAAAACAAAACACAAAATAGAAATTCTTAATCCCCCAAATCGGTCTTATCAAGAAACAAGTTATAAGTTTTTTGAAAATGAAACTTCATTTTCAAAGAACTTATAACTTGGTGATAATATTCAAACTGTTCATGCATTTAGTGAAGATTCTATTTCATTATTGAAACTTGAATTTCAAGAAACTGTGGCAGAATATGAAAATTGTTTAAAAAAATTTCGGAGATCACCAGTTAAAAGCAGTACTATTAATATGCTTGAACGATTTTCGAAGGTGCAAACAGAAGTAAAAATAGCTCTGATTAGTATGAATATTGATTCCTCTAACTAAAAATGAGCTAGATATGAACTTTGTGTTGCTTTAAAACCAATAAAATCGACCATTTATACTCTTTCAAAAGGAGATGCTGATCTTTTGTATTTTAAAACTTTGATTGAATTTACAAGAAAAAAACTTTCTGAAGCTAATACACCTATAAGCCAACTTGTTAAACAGATATTTAAATATATAATATTTGAAAGAAAAAATATTCATTTAATTCATCTAATAAAGTTATTGTCACATCAGAATGTCTTAAATAAAGATGACCAATTTGGCAACAAGAATAAAAAAAAAGATTAATCTGGCTACTAATCTTATTCAGCAATTATTTCAGCCATCTGATTAAATAAATATCGATAGTATAACTAATAACGTAAAAAGTATCAAAAATGAATTGAATTTAGCTCAATAACTTAAAATTGAACAATCAGACATTGAAATAAAACTTGACCATCAGGAAATTAGAAGAAACCTTGCTCAAAAGGAAATAGTTGTTTTTGAAGCTAGCAAAGCTGGGTCCAAATATTTAGATTTACTTTTCTAAGGTCTTCGAACAATTCCTCCTATATCCGTAGAAGCTGAAGAGCTTTTTCTAGTCTTGGACTTTTTGCTACTAAAATAAGAAGTTGATTAAATGACGAAACTTTTAAATGCACTACATTTTTAAAAGCAAACTATGAAGAGTACTTATTGGTATTATTTATTTTTGTTCAAATTAATGAATTAATTTACTTTTACGCATACTTTGTATTACTTTTGTGTGTTTTAACATACCTCAATTAAAGTTCTAAATAGAACTTTTTTCTGTAATAGTGCAAATATGTTCAGGTTCGAACTTTTAAAAAAATATTCTGACTGGAAGCCCTATTTCACGGTGTCTTTTTAACGTGTTTTTTGTAATGGTGAAACATCTCTTATACTGTCAATTTAAAACATCTTCCATTGCAAAAAGACAAATAGAAATTATGTTTATAAAGTTGTTATCAACAAAGTATAAATTTATTACTGGTCGTAAAATATTTGGGATAAAAAGATTTTCCAAAAATTATTTCAATCATTTGATGACATAAATTATATCAATTTGAAAAACATTGCACCAAAATTAGATTTGCTTTTATTGTTTGTAAAACATCTTTTACAAAAAAACGAATACTTAGACATTTTATTGTTCTATTAGTTCCGATAAATCTTATTGATACATCGCTGCAGTCAGATTTTGTGTAAAGAGTTAACAAATTCTTTTCAATCACTTTTCGAATTTCTTTAAATTTAGTCTTTATCTTTTTAATTGTGACCCAGCCATGTGACTGCCATACAGTCATATCAACCCCCCCCCCTCTCTCACACAACTTAAAATTCATTTTTAAAATAAAAAAACACTAATCATTTATCAATTTAATAGGTATTATAAGTAAGTTTTAACATTCCTAAAAGACTTTTTTAATTCTTTTGAAAAGAAATAAAGCAATACTGAAAAATTAAAATATCAACATAGACAGCATAAAGAAATGCTAATGAAGGACAATATTAAAAATTTCACATAAAAATAAAAAAGGTTGAAAACAAAAGCGAAATTCTAACTAGTAAAATGCTAAAAGAAATAACCAAAAAAAAAGTAAGTATTTATGGTAAAATTAGTCAGCATTCTTCCCTAAAACAAAAATACTTACTAACTTTTGTTCTAAAATTTGCATAAAATCAAAGAATTGAAAGATAAAGTTGAACACTTTTCAGCTCAAGAAACGTTTATTGTCCTAGTTCTTGATGAAATCAAAATTCAAGAAAATCTTGTTAGGGACAAACATTCTGGAGAATTAATTGGTTGTGTTGATTTGGGCGATCCTAGTGTTAATTTTGCAACATTACAACAGGCTGACAAACTTGCTTCTCATGTATTAGTTTTCTTAATAAGAAGTATTGTAAATCCTTTCAAATACAGTTTTGCAAACTTTGCCACTATAAATATTACATCAGTGCAATTATTTTCTCTATTTTAGAAAGCTGTAGGCATTTTAGAAATCTCAGTTGCTTTAAAAGTAGTAGCAGTTACTTGTGATGGAGCATCATCGAATAGAAAATTTTTTAAAAGGCGTTTAAATTTGACTGAGAAAGAAGATAATAATGGTCATGTTAATGTGACTTATCGCATTGATATTTTATTTGCTGATGATGAAGATAAAAGGTTTATATACTTTATTTCTGATGTCCTTCATTTTATTATAACAGCGAGGAACAGCCTTTCATATTCTGGAGCTGGTAAAAGCAATCGTTATATGTGGAATCAGGGTCAACATATTTTATGGTCTCATATAACTGATTTGTTTTATGAAGATTTAAAATGTCAATTGCATGCATGTCCAAAGCTAACTGTTGAGCACATCAAAATAAGTCCATTTTCAGCTATGAATGTTCGTTTAGCTGCACAAGTATTAAGTAATTCATGTAGTACTGCATTAGAAATCTATGCACCATCTGATACTGCTAGAACTGCACAGTTTTGCAAATATTTTAATGATTTTTTTGATTGCTTAAATGTTCGTAATACAAATGATAACATATTAAAACGCAACTCATTTTTGAAACCATTTTCTGATACTAATGATATTCCATTTACATGGTTAAAAGAAAATTTTTTTAAATATCCTACTGATTGGCTTTTTTCTATTGAATCAAGACCTGGAAATTTTTAAAAAAGTCATAGAAGTAATATCTTAATTACTTGGCAAACCCATGAAGGTATAAAGATCACAGTTAATTCTGTTATTGAACTTGTCAAATTTTTAATTAATAACAATGTAAGTTATGTATTAGCTGAAAGGTTTTGTCAGGATCCTTTAGAAAATTACTTCGTTGTTGAAAACAACAACGGTCAATTGGTAGAAGAAAAGATAATCCTTCCTTGTTTAATTTTGGATTCAATGATAATACTATTCGAAATCAACATATATTTCACCCAATTGCTGGTAACTGTCTGAATCTTAATGAATCAAATAAAATGTCAATGAAGGAGAGTATAACAGGTATACCACGCAGAAAATGGACTTACTCTGAAAAATCTGTTGATAATAAAAGTTGACTTTTCAAACAACGAGACATAAAAAAAAATTTATTAAAAAAGATTTAATAAAAAAAATTCTCTTTATCTCCTTGTACTGCTGAAAAAAAATAAATGATTTTGCATAAAAACGGCTATTTTCAAGCCACAAATCTTTAAATGGCATAAAATATTGATCATTTAACTGAGAAATTAATTGTTAAAATAATAAATAAAAAAGTTTATTTTGCAGTCTTATTTTTATGTTTGTTTTACTTTTGTTACAATGTAAACAAACACCTAAGATGCTTTTTATAGAACCTCTAATAATGATATTATTTAAATATTAGGATTTTTTATAGAACTTATGATAACAATGAAATTGTATATGGGACCAGCGCGTAATCAGGTGTAAAAGTGGGTGACTTTCTTAAAGCTTATCTATTTTTCATAGGTACCACTGGATATATAAAAAATGTATTTTTAAAACCTGTCATTAGGACACCATAATTTTAAAAAACATTTCATTACAATGTTTTAGATTATTAGTTCCTCAAATTTGGTTTAAGGACCTCGATAATTTGAAAAAAGCTCCCTAAATTTATTGTCTCTTTCTCTTATTGAGTGTATGGGGGTGCCTTTATATTTATAGTGGCTAGATCACTTGCATTAGAAGCAATAGATCATTAGTTCAATGCCTGCTCTTAGCATATTTACATTATCTGTAAAGTAAGAAATCAAAAACCTTTCTTTGACATCTATTCACTTTGGTGTATGGTGTCATAGTTTAATTTTTACCTAATTGAGCTCGGAGTGGTCGAATATATATATATAATCTTAAATGAAAATCAAGAGAGGACTATTTTTCTTGATATATAAATACAAATTCTAAAAAGTTTTTTGAATGTTTGTTTTCTGGTTTTGTTGCTTTTAGTCATAATTTCATGGAAAGTTTTAATTTTCATGAGTTTGAGGATGGTAACATTCTCAAATAAATATTAAACACAAATTCCAAAAATTTATGTTTATATTTACATCAAATAAGGATGCTTTGCAAAAATTTATGACGATTGGAGACTGGGAACAAAAAAGCCCTAAAATTTTAGCTACACCTGCCCTAAACGTGAGAGTAACAAGTTGATAAAATACTTTTTTTATTATTCTCAGCCTAGTTTATATTCATCGATAAATTTTAAAAATCGCAGAATAATCTCTTAGTGTTCAACAATTATGGCCTTATAAAATTTGCAACCCCCTCAAATTGAGGGGATTCAAACTTTTTATGGTCATAATTTTTGAATACTAAAATATTTTTGTTTGAATTTTAAAATTCATTGATGAATATAGATTTAGTTAAGAATAGTATAAAAAATAATTTTATCAACTTGTTGCTCTCACATTTGGGCAGGTGTAGCTAAAATTTTAGGGCCATTTTTTTCAAAGCATCTTTATTTGATATAAAGTAAACATAAATTTTTGGAGTTTGTTCAATGTCTGGAATGAAGGTATCTTAAACACCAAAAAATGCTGCATCCGCGCCTGATATATATATATATATATATATATATATATATATATATATATATATATATATATATATATATATATATAATATATATATATATATATATATATATATATATATATATACATATATATATATATATATATATATATATATATATATATATATATATATATATATATATATATATATATATATATATATATATATATATAATACATATAATTTATAGTAAGGTGACTTGATCAAGGTAGGAGTTCCTTAACCTTGGATGGCAATCTTTCTAGTGGTAGTATCAAAATAAAAATACCCAGTTCTGACCTTAATGAAACAACACACACACTCTCTCTACGAGTAAGTCAGAGCAGAAAGTGAACATATTTATTACATATTTAAAACTATTGTATGTAAATTATAATTTTGTACTACATTTTGATAAGGGTGCTTTGGAGTTAAAGTCTTAGGGATCTTACCTTATTGACACAAACAAATCAAAACATTTTTTTAAATTAATATTTTTTATGACAAATAAATAACAGAGTTTCTATACCAAGTATGTTTTTGTGAAATTTGTGGCTATGAAAATAGCCGTTTTTGAATGTGATATTACATTAAACTATTTACTTGAATCCAATTGATGTTTTTTTCATTTTTGAATGGTGTGATTTTGACTTTGTTTGATTCTCTTTAAGTTTGTGGATACTTAGTTTTTCTTTTGGATATGAAAAAGATTTCACTCTAACATAAAATGTAACCAGATGATAAAACAACTTTAATGAGAGTTCTTTGGATACTTGATTTGTGTAAAGACTACCAAGTTCATATATGCTTGCCATAATAACACTGTTTTTTAAAATTTTGGCTACAATCAGTTCTGAATCAATTTTTTTTACAAAACCATTACTTTGATGGCGAAAGAGAAGCTCAAATTTTGTAAAGATTTCTAAAATTGGAGGAGACACTTTCCATAAACCACCTTGATTTTTAGCATTTACAAATTTTTGGTAAGACCCAGTGGATATTTCAATATTCTTGAAAAAATGTTCTATTTTAACAGCATTAAGAAGTGAAAGGCAGTCTGTGCTTAACTTTTGCTGCCATATCCGCGAACTGCGAACTCTGCAATAAAATGTACTGAATACATAACTACTTAGATACAAGATAATTTCTTTATCTCTATTTAAAAGTTCAACTGACGACAAATCATTTAAACTTACAAAAGAATTATTATATGAGTTTGTAAGAAATGCTAAAACATGATTGCATAGTTCAAAGCCAAGAATGAAAATTCCTCTATCATAATTAATACCTTTATAAAACTGAGTATAAAACTTTTCTGCATCGCCATTATTTTTAAAACTAGCTATTGTTGCCTCTAATAGAGATAGGGCTTGTTGTGAATTTTCTAATAGAATTACATGATTAATTCTAACTCATTTCTATACAAATCAGAATAGCATTCGTTGTCAATCAAGGTAGTAATTCTTTTATCGAGCAGACTTTTAAATTCGCTGAGAAGAATATGTATTTTAGGATTTTCTAATGTTAAATTTAAAGGAATACTTTGATATTTTGAATTTGAATGCCTTGTGAGGCCTCTTCGAGATATGCACTTTTTAGAGAAAATTGTGCAAGAAAATGTACTTTCAACAGGTTCACTTGACAAGTCCAACACCAAAGCGTCTAAATCTTTATTAAAATTTCCGTCTGCAAAAAGAAAATCATTCTCCAAAGAAAAAAATAATGTTTCAATATCAAATTCACCATTGAAATCTTTATCCGTTCACTCTGTTCCTGGCCGTTCGACAGTTTTCAAGTGTTTTTAATAAATATTAGAAAAATCACTTAATATCGTTTTAGATGTCAATAAAATCTATTTAAAAGTTTGACTATTTTTAGTTTCTCAAAAACTCTTTTTTTTAAAAACTATTTTTACTTTTTTTAAATTCTAAAAAATTAGTCAACATAACAACTATCCTACCAAACTGGCGAAACGCTAAGCACCAAAATTGGTTCCGTCATACATTGAACTAAATCATACTCATCAATCATCGAGGAATTTTAAGCTACTTTTAGCATCAAGTTTCTGATGCTATTATGTTTTTGATAATAAATAAGTTAATTTGATTATACAAAATAAGATAAATGAGATTAAATTTTGTAATACAAAATTATCAATTTTTAAAAAGTTAAACAGTATACAGTTTATCAGTATGGTTCTTTGTCTTTTTTTCTTGTTATTTCACACACACACACACACACACACACACACACACACACACACACACACACACACACACACACACACACACACACACACACACACACACACACACACACACACACACACACACACACACACACACACACACACACACACACACGCACGCACGCACGCACACACGCACACACACACACACACACCGTTAATTTACATTCTGTTCAACCTCTACAATTTAAACTAGGATAAGATTCATTATGTTTTTGCATTTTATTAAATTTACTTAATAACATTTTGCTAATTTTGTATTCATAAAATATAAGTAAAAAAAGATGGTTCAGCTTACATCAAGTTGGTTGATTGTTCATGCCTTTATTATTGCTATGGTTTTTGGCTTATTATTGTGGTTTCAGCTTCAAATTTTACATTTTGCACTTTTATTCTCATTGACAGTTTTATTGGATCTTATATATTTGTCATCGGTTATTATAAACAATATACGCCCAACACAACAATGCTTTAGAATAAATGGTAAAAAAGTGCTAGTAACTGGTGCAAATAGTGGCATTGGATTTGATATTTCTAAAAAATTAGTACTTAGTGGTGCTGAGTATGTTGTGCTTGTAGCACGAAATCAACATCGTTTAAATGAATGCAAGAATATTCTTGAATCAATGAAAGTGGATGTAAATCAAAAAATATTATGTTTATCGCTGGATTTAGCTGATGATCCTGTTTTAGTTGTTCAAAAAATTACTGATATTTGTTCTCTAATGAATGGAATAGATGTCTTGATAAATTGTGCTGGTTATTCGATTCCGGGAGAGTTTGAAAATCTTAAGATTGAAGCATTTTACACAATGAATAATACAAATTATATAGGGTCAGTTGTTGTTACACAAGCTGTTGTGCCATTTATGAAAAAACAGCAATTTGGACAAATCGTATTTTTTTCTTCTGTTGCTGGTCAAATAGGTGTGTATGGTTTTTCGGCTTATTCTCCTTCAAAGTATGCATTACGTGGTCTAGCAGAAGTTTTGTATTCTGAATTGAAGCCTTTTGGTATCGGTGTAAGTTTAGTTTTTCCTCCTGATACTGATACACCAGGTTTTCAAAATGAAAACAAAAGTAAGCCAAAACTAACACAAGAAATATCAGGAAATGTTCAAGCATGGAGTAGTGAGGATGTATCTAAAGTTGTGATGCAGGGTATAGAGAAAAGAAAGTTCATGATTGGATGTGGAAGTGATGGATTTTTTCTTAATGCACTTACTTGTGGAGCAGCACCACCTTCTTCTACATTAGAATTTTGGATGCAATGCATTCTTATGCCATTTCTGAGAGTTTACATATTGTTTGTTCAAAACAGTTTTTTTAATCTTATATCCAATGAAATTGATGATAAGAAGAAAGTTTTATAGTTTTATACTTTTGTAATTTTTTATTTATTTTAATACTTTTTACTTAATTATTTTTTAGTATTTAATCTGTTTGTAAAGATACATAAGTTGTATGTTATGTATAATTATGAAATTTTAATTATGCATAACATACAACTTAATAAAAGATAATTAGACGCCTGATGAAGCCATGTTTGTTATGCTAAACATATTTGTTATGCCTTATATATTTGTTAGCCATTCCACAAGATTTTTTTTAGTTGAAATTTTTATATATGATTAACACGGTTTTATAGAGCTAAAAAAAAACTTGAAAAATAAGGGGTTTTCAACTTTAGAAGTTTTGTAGATTTGAAGTTAATGCATTTTTTGTGATGGAAAAACTAATGATTTTTTGACAAAACGTCTTTAAGTATGGAAAATTTGCTGTGTAATGGCACCGTAGTAAAATAAGAAAATATCAAAAATGTATTGCAAAAGTCAAAACAAATGATATGCAAAGGGATAAAAGCATTATGTAGATAATTTCTATATACAAATCAAAGTACCAAGTTTTCAAGGAAATAAATTATTTAAATAGAGGAATGGCCATAATTGCCATTTCCACATGGACTCTTTCAAGAAACAGTTTTTTCTTTATAAATTAACCTTGAAGCTTTTAAACGCTGAGAACTAAAAAATTATGTATAAATGTTAAAAAGAATCCACATTCCATTAGATTCCTCGTCCCTTTTTTTATATACATGCAAAGTTTTATACACATAAGGTTAGTAGCCAAACAGTTCTATAGGATTTCGGAACAAGAAGAAAAGAAAAAACTTTAATAACTATAAACATTTTTTAACTTAAGCGTTTTAATTTAATGGGGTTCAAATCTAAAATTTTTTTGTTCCAATTTCTTAGAGAACTTTTTGACTAGGGTGGTTTCAAGACATTAGTAATACATAAGTGAAGTCATAAAAACTTATTACATTCTATATATGGTTGGAAAGCGGTTGAGTCAAATTAATTGATGCAAAAAATCTCAATGTTCTAGCTTAATTGTGCATTTGAAAAATATTTTTTAAACCAAAACGAAATTGATTAAAAAAATTCAAGTTTTTAGTTTTTTCTCATAGGTCCAAAGTGGCTTATTTGGACCGTAGACAATAGGAAAGGCTTGAGAAATTTTTTTATAATGCGCTTATATTATTTTGCTTTTATTTTTTTGACTGCAATAGTTTTAATATAAACTAAATCTTAAATACTACTTCCTTGTTTAAGTTAAAAAAAAAAGTTAAAAATATTACTCAAGTTCAGATTTAAACAGATAAAAATTGTGATAAAAAATTTATTTTCCCCAGGCAAACAAGTTTACAAGATTCTTTTTTCCTTACCTCTCTAAAATAATTTTTATAAAAATATCCTACTAAAACATTCCAATCTGCTGATCTAATATGTTTAAAAACTATGTATAAATTTTTTGATGTTAAATATGAAGTAGAACTAAACAAAATTTCTCTCTCTCTCTCTCTCTCTCTATATATATATATATATATATATATATATATATATATATATATATATATATATATATATATATATATATATATATATATATATATATATATATATATATATATATATATATATATATAATTATATATAATTATATATATATATATATATATATATATATATATATATATATATATATATATATATATATATATATATATATATATATATATATATATTATATATAATTATATATATATATATATATATATATATATATATATATATATATATATATATATATATATATATATATATATAGAGAGAGAGAGAGAGAGAGAGAGAGAGAAATATTTGTTAATCTTTATTTTTTTCTAAACTCATATAGCCTGGATGTGCAAAAGTTGGCTATTTATATTAGAAGTACTCTGTAAAAATATTATTGCTTTAGGGAATTATTAAAAGGTGCCCCAAGACCATTGAAAGTGTAACGGGTCCCTAATATTATAAAATTTTATAATATTAAGGACCCGTAAGGAAGGGGTAAATGCCCCTGCTGTCCCCCTGAATAATAGTCATATTCAGGCCCGTTGCTTCGGACCTGAATATGACTATTCTTTTTGAAATTTTACTATAATTTGGCTTCAACATGACATACTTTTGAAAAACTTTTTTTCTATTATATTTTTAACCAAATTAATTTTCAAAGATCTTGGGGGACCTCAAGATAGATTGCTAGAGCCTTTATATTTTTCAAGAATAATTATAATATGAATGGATCACTTCTGCACACCCAGCCTAAATGAATTCTAAAAAAAGTTAAAATTCACCGTACCCTAATATACATGTCGGTAAAGGGATTACGGGGCCTCATCTTATTGTAATTTTCAGTGGTCAATAGTTCAATCAAAATAGAAGGAGTTTTTTATTCATTCATTTAAAAGTTTTTTTTTTGGTTTACATTTATTGGTTGCAATTTACTTTTTTCTGTGCTTCCCCAAGCAATATTGGCCTAATTTATCATAATAAAGTTGGATCAAGACTTTCTTATTGAGATAGATTCATAATTTATATAAGATCCCCATGTTTTTAGAATTTTTTTTGCTTATATAATCAATATGGTGATTCCAAGTAAAGTTTTCATCAAGATAAACACTTACAAATTTTGTAACAAAATTTCTTTTTATTTCCTTTTGATCAATAAAGATTTGAGGTAATTTTGATGGAAAAGATCGCTTTTTTGTAATCGAATGAAATAAAATAAATTTTGTTTTATTAGTTTTCAAGGTTAACTTATTACACTTGAACCAATTAGGTATATGCCTGAGTTTATCGTCACTGTTTTAAAACGTTCAGCGATTCAGTCATCGTAAAATACATTTTATATTTTGTATGTTTATGTTATAATCAGTTCTTTTATTATATGTCATTTTTTTATTATATGTCGTTATGTCAAAGAGTCAAGTGTTCTTAATATTGTGTGTGGGGTCCCTCAAGGCTCAATCTTGGGACCGTTGTTCTTTTTAATTTACATCAATGATATGCATAAAGCATCATCTATAGTATCTTCAATAATGTATGCTGATGACGCAGTTTTTTTTTAATAATCATATTAATTTGAAATCGATGTTTGGAACAATGAAAATTGAACAGGAATACTTTAACTTATGGTTCAGAGCAAATTACTACCAGATCAAAAAAACTACCTTTAAACTGTGGAAAAACTAACTCTATTTATTTCAAAAACAGGTCAATTAATGTCTCTACCGTTAAAAATTTCAAAGTGGTTCATTAAGAACATAACAATAAAAAGAATAAAGTATGCAAAGCATCTTGTCATTCAAATAGATGAGTATATATCATGGAGAAATTATATTGGCAAACTGAAAAAAAAATATCATCTGCAATAGGTATTTTATATAAATCTCATTCATTTCTTAATTTCAGTTAAAGAAAAAACTTTAACTTAGTCTAATTCATAGTCATCTCACATATACAAATATAGTGTGGGCTAATACACAAAACCAAATTAATCAAAACTATGCTTGTAGTACAATTTATTATCTAAGTAAAATTGACTATTATTTTAATGCGATAACAAATATGAAAGTCTTAAACTAGGAAAAAATTAACTTATATTGGATTTTTATTTTTATGTTCAAACATAAAAATAATATCCAATTGAATTCTTATTTAGACATATTTTGGTCATCACTTTCTCAAAATTATAATTTGCGATCAAATAGTTTCCATAAGTATTCCAAATTTTTCAACTTTGAAAATTTAGAATACCGGGGTTACAGAATACCGTCACAAAGCCCCAAAACATGGGAAAGTTTTAGAAATCAAAAATCAAAAGACATAAATGGAATATCGTCGTTTAAACGGCAAGCAAAGCTGCATATTCTTGGTTTGTAAAAATGATTGCTATAAATTTAATTTTTTTTTTTTAACTTAATTAATCTAAATAAAACAAAAAAACAATAACAAACAAACAGTAGAAATAGTAATTACAGAGCTAATTACAAAAAAATTCTTATTAAAAACGTACACAACATTTTTTTAACCGCAATATATAGACCACCTAGTGGGAATATAAAATTGTTTGAAAAATATTTAGAACAGTATTTAGAAATTGTACTTAATTGGGGATTTTATTATAAACCTTTTAGACAAAAAACTGATAATAAAGTTAAACAAGAAAAATCTGATAGGATACCAAACAAAATAATATTCATAAAAAAATGGAAATTTTTGCGGTCACTTACCCTTAATAAACTGGGAACAACTTATTAAAGCTTATGAATATTTTATCTGTGAGTTCAGTAATGCTTATGAAAAAGCATTTTCAAAGCAAGAAAAAAGAGTCAAGCTCAAAAACTTATAAGGTCCATGGATTTCACAAAGTCTCATCAAATCTTCCAAGAAAAAACAAAAAATATAAAAAAAAAAAACTTACAAAAATGAAAAAATATATGAAAGTTAAAAAAACCTATTTGAAAAACTTAAGTAACAAGCTAAAAAAAATTATTATTCAAAACTTTTACAAAAATAATATTGGTAATATTAAAAAAACTTGGGATTTTATAAAACCAGTAATAGGAAAGAAAAAAATTGATCCAGGTGATATCCTGCCAAACCGTTTAAATACAAAAACATTGTTATTAATGAAAAGGTTGCTGAAAGCTTAAACAATTATTTTACAAACATTAGAAACACACTGGCTAATAAAATAACTCGAAGTAAAAAAATATTTAAATTGATGACATAAGTTCTCAGGTGGTTAAAGAAATTTATGATGTTATTGAATATCCCCTACTGTAGATCTTTAATCTCTCATTAAAAAGTGGAGTTTATACCTCCAAATCCCAATATCCTTTTTTTTTTTTTTTTTTCTTTATTACAATATTTAATACAATATTTACAAATATATCATAAGAAAAATTACATGCAAAGAAATCGTTAAAAAATAAAGAATAAAGATAAAGAACGCGGATCTCTCAAAGAAGACCATACAGGTCTTGTCACCGAGAACCGCTATTGAAGGACTTTGAACTTAATTTAGATTTTAGAAAAAACAAAAATAAATAAATACAAATTTTAAACTTTTCTTTTAGTTATGGTCTTTATAGTTTGAATTAAAACACTAATTCTTCTGAACCGCATGACTCAAGCGAAAACAATAATATCATAATACTCTTGATAAACAAATACGTCTCGCATCTTACTCGCATATATTCTCTACTAATCTTGTTACTCAAATGTATCTTACAATTACACTTAATTCTTAATTAATAAATAAACGAAAATAATATGAATATGATCGCACTAGTTGTATCCAAATGCACTTCAAGGTTGTCTAAAAGATTGTGTAGAAGAATTTAGAAAGCCAAAGAATAGTATCATTGTGTGTGAAGCCGAAATTATCAGATGTTGGTGCGTTTGCGTTTATGTTTCCACCGACAAAAATGCTAAACCACTTTTTTTTTTTGCTGATGACACCCAACCTTTCTACACCCACTCAAATATTAAAACTATTTTTAACACATTAAATCAGGAGCTTGAAGAGCTAAGCGATTGGTGAAGGCCAACAAACTTTTCTTGAACATTGAAAAAAGCAAATACATTCTTTTCACAAAACCATCAAAGTAAGACACGTTACCATTAAAACTTCCAGACAATTTAGTTGAAAAAACAAAATCAAAAAGAGCATTTTCTGTGAGTTTCTAGGAGTCATTCTAGATGAACATATTAGATGGAAAGAGCATATCAAGTTGTTAGAAAATAAAATATCTAAAAGCATTGGGATTATGCATAAAACTAAGTATATTTTAAATATAGTATGTATAAAAAATTTATACTTTGCATTTGTTCATAGCTACATTAGCTACTGCAAAACTAGCCTTAGTCTATAAAAAACAAAAGCAAGCATGCCGCATATTTACAAATGGATATGCTAGTGCTAAACAAATAATGAAAGAACTGAGAGTTCTTAATATTTATGAACAAAACATCTATAGCATCCTTCAGTTTAAATTAAAAAATAATTTGGTCCCAAAATATTCCATAATTTCTTCTAACTTATTGATCATAAATACAAAAAAAAAATATTCTAAGCAGAACTACTATATTCCAAAAATGTCTTTATGACATTTCAATTGTCAATGTCTTGAAGAGGACCACAATTGTGGAACTCATTTCTCACAAATGAGATTAGACTATTTTCAACATTTTAAATGCGTTGTTAAACAACAGTTGTTTGACCTCAACATTACTGAAATAATCTTATTTTACACGTCTGAAATAATCTTATTTTAAAAACTTTTACACGTCTTGAAATTTTTTATTTTATTTACACAATAGCTGGAAATACTTATGGTTATATTTAGAAAAATGCATTTAATTGTATTTATATTTATAAAGATACATTTACTTGGCTATTTTAACCATACGAGTTTTTTATATATCTATATATTTAAATATCATATAACTTGTGTTTATCTTATATTTAATTGATATTTATTGTAAAATAAATTAAAATTAACGGGGCAAGATGATAAGACCATCGTCTTCTGCTTGCTCCAGTCAATTTGTTACGTTAACAATTTTGTAAAAAAAAAATTTATATTGACGAAAAAGATTATATATCTATCTATATCTATCTATATATAAACATAGTTAAACTAACTTTTTACTTAGACATAAATAAACGTCAAATGGCGCTGTTAAGGAAGAATTTTTTATGGAGTTCTATACCAAAAATTCTGAATCTTCTTTGATTTCCTTTCTTTAGGTATTATAGTTTGGAAAAATAAATATAACAGTTATTATACCAAAATTTTTATTAAAGTTTGTATCAATATTATATTAATGTATCAATATTATGTTAATGTATTTTTATCAATTTGATACATAAAAGTTATATATTTATTTTTTCTTTATATCTTTATTTGGTATACTTAAAGAAAAAAAAAAATTAAAAAAACAATGTCTTATTTAAAAAAAAAACAATGTTTATATATTATTACAGCGCCTCAAAATTTCGGTGGCACTGGATATATACTTGATATATTGACTGGATATATTTAGTGATTTTGCATGCTAATTGGCTAACATAAAAGAAGACCCTTACTACCTCTAGAGGTCGATGTTACAAAACCTTTTACCGACGTAAATGATTTTTGTCAATGTTTTCAAATATTTTCAATATTTTCAAAAATAAACTTTTTACTGGCGAAACGTTTACCGTCGAAAAATATTACGGAGGAAGGTCCTACAGAAATTTTTGCTAAAGATCCAAAGACAATTATATTTAATTGTAGAAACTTGTGGTTCAGAATGTTTTTGAAGCTTCAACTCATAAAAATATGTTAAAAATATTCTGTTTTTGACATATTTTAATGTCTTAAGAATGTTATTGATCCGGATAATAGATTTCTAAAAATAAATTCAGGGAATAGATATCTACAAAAATTTAATGCGCAAGGGTTTTATAACATTGAATAGAAATAAATTACCCCAGTAAAAAGTTTTATAAAATCGTTTTTGAACGCTAAACATTAGCATTTATTCAAACTGGGCAAGTTTTGACAAAGAACAGCAACTTTAAAACTTTTTCTTTTAATTCTCTGTTTTAAACTCTCGTCATTTACTGCTTGGCACTTTTTTTTTTAATGCATGTTTTATTTACTTATTTTATAAAATTTTTTTTTTTGAAGTTTGAGTTTTCTCTCTAATTGTTAAGTCCAAGTTTTAAACAGTTTCATTTAAAGTAAAGATTTGATGCAAAGTAAAGGAGTTAAAACTAATGCTAAAAGTAACACTTGTTTATAAAATTAGCTTTATCTCTACCTCTTAAGGTTCAAAACAGTAACATTTCTTTTACAAATTTGTTGGTTTTGCAAGTTTAGTAATATCCATATAGTTTAACATCGGAGTAAAAAAAAGCTTTAAAGCTTTTAATGCTATTTGAATTAGCTTTACATTTTGGAAATAATCAAATTGAAAATTCTGAGCTTTTGTGCAGCCGTGGCGCAGTAGTTAAAGCTCTGACATAAAACCAAGAGGTGAGAGGTAGCATAGTTTTTTTACCACAAAGAAATGTTTTTTTGCTGATATAACCTCTATATCTTGAAATCAACTTAAAAACATCACGAAGTTAAAGTTTAAGTAAGTTTAAGTAGATTTTAAGATATAGAAGATAGATTAGCAAAAAAACATTTATCTCAAATATCTACAAAAAACCTTCGAATAACACTTCTTTGTTTTATGCAGATTTCAAGTCTTTGTTTAATGTAGATTTCTAACCTCAGGGTCAACGACGCCTTGGGGGCACGTGCCCCTCTACTTTCTTTCTAAAGGACCTTTTTTCGATTTTATTTTTGTGGAAAATTCAGGATATAGAAGACTTTTTTTAGAAATTAATTACTGCGCCCCCCCGCCCCCCCACTTTGAAATCCGCGTCGTCGGCCAAAAATCTGCAAAAAAAAAAAAAAAAAAAAAAAAAAAAAATTCTTCATAAATTCTTCCTGTGTAAAAAGTTCTTCGCAACGTGCAAAGCATTCAAGTAAATGTGATTTTTGTATGCTTTTCCTAAATTACTGTCTCAAATACAGATTTAGATTTACATTGATTCAACGAATTTATTTTTTGTTTTGCATTTTCTAAGACTTAGGACGTCGTTAAAAAAAGTATATATGCTATCATAATGAAATTTTTAGGAATTGTTCATTTTATTAATATTTGTTATATGAGTGAAATAGAATTGGCGATAAAATTTTAGATTTGGAGTTATTAGGTTTTGTTTATTGTATCTAAACATTTTTTCATATTACCTAATTTGTCTGCACTTTATTATGTAAAAAAAATAAATAAATAAATAAAAAGGTAAAAATTATTAAAAAAAAATTCAGAATAGGCTGCACTCTTATTAGAAATTTACACATTTAGAAAAGTTTACTCATTCTTCTAAATTTAAACAAAAACCAACGTAGCACAGTTTTTACTCTACGACTCAAGAGATATTTTTTTATTTTAAAATTTGTGGATAGTTTCCCTTTAAAGAACAAACCTTATTTGTTTTAAATTAATTAAAAATCAAAAAATAATATCAAAATATTAAAAAATATGTAAAAACATACAGGTAAAAGTTGATAAATATATTTATTCTATAATTTACTATATAAATATCTAAATAATTATTTTAAATAAATATGCCTTTATTTAAATAACTGAGCAAATTTGATTTGGCGAAAGCTGAAAACTGTACTCAACTAAATCTAACAAAAATCTTCCCAAGATTTCGGCAAAGTTCTTCTACAAATAAAAAACAAACATAGAATAATAAAAATGTCAAAATAAAATTAATTTTTTCTTTATGTAACCATTAAAATATGAAATTTACAATAAATTTTAAATTTTCATAAATAAGGTTTTTTTTTACAATAATAAAATAACAGCATAAATAATATATTTAAAGCAATATTATGAACAAATAACTATAATAAATCAATCATAGTAAATGAAAAAAGGCAAGAATAATTATAATATATTTATTAATTATAACTATAAATATAAAAATAATATTGTAAAAATAATTATAACAAAAAAGCTACTAACATTACAGAATTCCTGTAATATTTTAATACTAAACTTAATGCTGTCGCTGCTGCTGCCGTTACTAATTTGTGCGTGTTTCACGGCACTTACGGCAATAAAATCAAGTTAATAAGGGTAAGAGTCGTAGCACTTTTTTAATAATAAAATGTGAAAGGAAGTGTATGCAAATTTTTAACTTAAGAAAGGTTTAAACATTTAATGTTAAAAATTATATCGAGTTCTACAGTTTTACTTTTACTTGAAAATTGCATTGCAGCAAAATCTTCTTCATTTTGATTTGTAGGATATATTTGTCGTTTTATAAAGTCGTACCATTTTTTTGTTTATTAAATAATGTCTCGCTGCGCTTCTAAAGTGATTTGCCGGGGTTCAAATCCTTTTTCTTGCATATTTAGTTTTTTTTATCTTTTATAGTTTCTTTCTGTTTGTCCCCCCCCCTTTCTCTATTTTTTTTACCACTTATTATAAAATATTGAAGTAAGGAATAAGTATAGAAATGTTCAGGGTAGAGCCGACTAACCAAAACCCGTATTTTATGGGTCTGAACGTATTTTACGAGTCATTATTATGACAATAAAATATATAGCCATTATAAAGTTATGACAATAACCATTATAAAGTTATGACAATAAATAAATTATATAATAATTATAAATTATGACGATGAATAGATTAGTATAACCATTTTGAAAAATATTATGACAATGAATAAATTATGAAACCATTAAATATATAATTATATTAGTTCTCCGAGGTGACAGTAGTTGTTATCACCGAGGTGACGTGGTGAAGATGAGACTAAAGAAACTTAAGAAATCACTTGACCATTAATGATCTTTGAAAAGAAAATACTGAAATTTTGTATTTAGAAATCGTTATCGAATATACAAAAACTTGATGAAGCTAATATACCAATAAGTCAACTTATCACTAATCTTAAGGTGAACCGCACTTAAACAATTTTTTGTTATTAATAATAACAAAAAAATTGATTTAGTGCTGTAATATGTAAACAACGTATCCATCGAAAAAAATACTATTTTATAATACCTATTTACATATATTGCTGTAAAATATAGTAAAATAATTTCCATAGCAAAAAAGTTTTTTTTGAAATAAAAAATATTAACTAAAAAAACATTTAAAAAAATCCTAATTATTCTACAAGAGCTTAAATTTTTAAATTGTGTTTTAGTGACTCAATGTGAAATTATGTTTAGCATTGGTAAAAAAAAATTTCTTTTGAAAAGTATATTAACCAAAATATCAAAAAACAGAATAAAATTTTTCTATTTCTTATTCATTCTAATAATTGAGAGATTCTAATATGGCGAACTTAATCTGACTATGATTGATTGAAATTTGGATGATTTTAAATTGAGTTTTCTCAAAAACCACTTACTCAATAATAATGATTTTTTTTAATAAAGCATAAATAATTTTGTGTGCTTGTAGTTTTTTTACATCTGATTTGCAATATTAACATCTGACTTGCAATGTTAGCATCTGATATTTTAAGTAAAAGACTAAAAATCTAAAAAAAAAAATCCATTTTGCTCATATTTTATAATTTTCAATCTATAGGTAACTGAATGGTTCAAAAAACGACTTCTCCCTATAATTAAAAAACATAAATGACCAACTTTATTTTGTTTAGATCTATCAAAAAGTAATGAATTGGTATAAAAAAATAAAATCAATGTTGTTCTAAAGGATGCTAATCCACTAAACTGTCCTGAGCTGCAACTCATTGAATCTTACTGGGCAATATTGAAAGAAATACTGAGAAAAAGAGTTAAATTAGCAAATAGTGTTAAATAATTGATTAATGGTACAAAAAAAGTGATGCAAAGTCAACTTGTGGATTTAATGAGGGGTACTTTACAAAATATTAAACTACTTGCATACCATAAAGTTAAGACTTCTTTTTGTTGAAATAAAAACTAATTATGTACACATCATTAAAAAAAAAAAAAAAATTAGATTTGATTAAGTAGTTTTTGAAAAAACATAAAATTGTCCAAACTTCAACAAATAATGATAGTATTAAAAAATTTTTATCTTTGATTTTAACCACAACTTAAGTTTATATTAACACTTTAAAGTAATCTGTAATATATATCAAAAAGAAACAAAATACAAAAGCTTGTTAAGTAAAAAAGTTTTTGTTAATATTATATATTTTGAAACATCTTGAAATCATAGAGAATAATATTGCCACAAAGGCAGATAGTAAACTAATATAGCTGTTGCTGATATAATCAATAGATTCAAAAAACTGATGAAGCACATACATTACAAAGTTATGTAAAAAAATTTAAGGAAGTTGACGGTCAAAGTAAAGCTGTAGAAATGCAAAGGTCCAGTTTGGAAACTTTATCTGAAACAATCAAAAGAAATAAGGGAAAACAGTACAATGGTTCAAGAAATAATGGTTCTGAAACTATTATATTATATACTTACTAGAGAAAAGAAAAAGAGATTCTGCAATTAAAAAGAAAGAAAATAAAAAAACTAAGTCTTTAGAATCATTATGTTAAAACTATTTCAACAGCAACAACAAGCAACAATTTCAACAGCAACAACAAGCAACTATTTCAACAGCAACAACAAGCAACTATTTCAACAGCAACAACAAGCAGGAAATAGTACAACAATAAATCCAACAACAATCACCAATGCTGGAATTTATAAAACAACTTTCCAGAGAATAAATTATATTTATCTGAAAAATAACTCCAGTTTATTAATAAAAAGCACTGTTACTTTCAAATTCATATAACAATACAGGCCAACAAAACTTTACTTTTGAACTTTTTTTGAGACCCAGGTTGACATACCTTTAAAGAAGTTTTTTTTGACTTGACGTGATAGAAAAAAAAAAGATTACATATTGAAATCAGAAAATAGTATAAAAGTAAAATTTAGCTTGTGTAATTAATATTAATTACACAATTAATATAAATATAATATTAATATAATAGCATTTGAATTAACTTTTGCTTATTGTATTTTTTATTTTGTATAAAATATTCTTTAAATGTAGGTGGGTTAATATCAAAATAATTAGATGTCAGTGAACCATTTAAACAATTTTGAGCATTATTTAGTAAGGCAAAAACTATGTACATTTCACCTACAGCGTTTACAGCAATTTTTTTTTTTAATTTAAAAATTTTAAATAGTTTAAGATATCTCCAAATAACCATTCAACCCTCATTTTTTTATTCCATTTTTGTTGTTGTGGGGTTAACATTATACCTTTAAATCCTGTTTGCAAATGCACTCTGAGAGGATATGCAGGATCACCATTATTAAATAAAAGGTTACCTGCAGTATCAAATAAGCTCTCTCCTAATAAATTTAATAAATTAGAGTCTAGCTAGCATGCCATTATCAGGTTTTTTCCTTCAACTGCTATTAGTTAGTTTCAAATCCATTTTGAGCAATAACAGATTGAAACTTTGAACTGTGTATTTTTTATGTCCATTGTAAACTACTTTTTCCTTGTTTAATGATTAGCCATCAATCCCCAGCAGTTTGTGAGAGAAGCTTTGCAATGAACAGCATCAGCAAAAATCTCAAGATTTTGTGTAGAAAAGCAGTTTTTATTAAGTGTTTTAAATAATTGAATCCAGGACTCATAAAAAAAGATTGAAACTTGTTTTGTAACAACGCTTAATTGTGAAATCATCCAAAACGGGGTATCATAACCATTTCAAAAACATACATGGTGCATCTATTGAAGTAACTTTCAATCCATTATAACATACCAACTCTTGAGGCAGTTGAAGACTTTGACTAAACAATTATAAAAAACTAAATTCAGTTTTACATTCATTAGTATTAGTGAATTGTCAACAGAATTGCCTATATAACTCCAAAAAGTTTCAGATTTCAATCTGTACAATAGTAAGAATTCATCGTCTGTTTGAACTTAGGAAAGTAATAAACTATTTCTAACATTTCTTAATAGAGCCATTTTTAAATTGTTATTTTATCAAATTATTGTTGCTTTTTTTTTAAATCAAAATAGCAACTTAAAACAATTTTAAACAAAACGGCAACAAACGTCAACAAGTTACAACTGCTCAACCTAGACCTTTAACATCTCCATTACACTTGCAGTTTTCATATTGTAAGCTCTCATTTTCACACATAATTTAACACATTCTAGATGAATACGTTTTATAAATATTATCTAGTAACTGAATAGAGTGTCTTTTCAATGGAAAAAAATATATGTATAAATAAAACTTTAATTAACTTACCTCTTTCTTAAGAATTAGTTCCAACTTTTCACGAATATCTTTTTCTTTGTGCAAAGTTGGAAACTATATAAAAAAATAAAATAAACAGAAAACTTTATAAAGATTTAACAGAACTAAAAATTTTTTATTATTTATTAAGCGAAACATTACTTTAATAGCCTTTAATAGTTTTAAACATTACTTTATACTAAAGCCTTTAATAGTGTTTAATCTCAAGAATATTTTCTCGAGATTTCTTGAAAAAAAAGTCATTATTTTAATATCTCAATTCTCGATAAATTGAATAAAAGTTCTTGAGAAAAAAGTCATTATTTTAATATCTCAATTCTCGATAAATTGAATAAAAGTTCTTGAGAAAAAAGTCATTATTTTAATATCTCAATTCTCAAGAAATTGAATAAAAATTCTTGAGAAAAAGTCATTATTTTAATATCTCAATTCTCAAGAAATTGAATAAAAATTCTTGAAAAAAAAGTCATTATTTTATTATCTCAATTCTCAAGAAATTGAATAAAAATTCTTGAGAAAAAAGTCATTATTTTAATATCTCAATTCTCGATAAATTGAATAAAAATTCTTGAGAAAAAGTCATTATTTTAATATCTTAATTCTCGATAAATTGAATAAAAATTCTTGAGAAAAAGTCATTATTTTAATATCTCAATTCTCAAGAAATTGAATAAAAATTCTTGAGAAAAAGTCATTATTTTAATATCTCAATTCTCAAGAAATTGAATAAAAATTCTTGAGAAAAAAGTCATTATTTTAATATCTCAATTCTCGATAAATTGAATAAAAATTCTTGAGAAAAAGTCATTATTTTAATATCTCAATTCTCAATAAATTGAATAAAAATTCTTGAGAAAAAGTCATTATTTTATTATCTCAATTCTCAAGAAATTGAATAAAAATTCTTGAGAAAAAAGTCATTATTTTAATATCTCAATTCTCAAGAAATTGAATAAAAATTCTTGAGAAAAAAGTTATTATTTTAATATCTCAATTCTTGATAAATTGAATAAAAATTCTTGAGAAAAAGTCATTATTTTAATATCTCAATTCTTGATAAATTGAATAAAAATTCTTGAGAAAAAAGTCATTATTTTAATATCTCAATTCTCGATAAACTGAATAAAAATTCTTGAGAAAAAGTCATTATTTTAATTTATCAATTCTCAAGAAATTGAATGAAAATTCTTGAGAAAAAGTCATTATTTTAATATCTTAATTCTCGATAAATTGAATAAAAATTCTTGAGAAAAAGTCATTATTTTAATATCTCAATTCTCAAGAAATTGAATAAAAATTCTTGAGAAAAAAGTCATTATTTTAATATCTCAATTCTCGATAAATTGAATAAAAATTCTTGAGAAAAAGTCATTATTTTAATATCTCAATTCTCAATAAATTGAATAAAAATTCTTGAGAAAAAGTCATTATTTTAATATCTCAATTCTCAAGAAATTGAATAAAAATTCTTGAGAAAAAGTCATTATTTTAATATCTCAATTCTCAAGAAATTGAATAAAAATTCTTGAAAAAAAAGTCATTATTTTATTATCTCAATTCTCAAGAAATTGAATAAAAATTCTTGAGAAAAAAGTCATTATTTTAATATCTCAATTCTCAAGAAATTGAATAAAAATTCTTGAGAAAAAAGTTATTATTTTAATATCTCAATTCTTGATAAATTGAATAAAAATTCTTGAGAAAAAAGTCATTATTTTAATATCTCAATTCTTGATAAATTGAATAAAAATTCTTGAGAAAAAGTCATTATTTTAATATATCAATTCTCAAGAAATTGAATGAAAATTCTTGAGAAAAAGTCATTATTTTAATATCTTAATTCTCGATAAATTGAATAAAAATTTTTGAGAAAAAGTCATTATTTTATTATCTCAATTCTCAAGAAATTGAATAAAAATTCTTGAGAAAAAAGTCATTATTTTAATATCTCAATTCTCAAGAAATTGAATAAAAATTCTTGAGAAAAAAGTCATTATTTTAATATCTCAATTCTCGATAAATTGAATAAAAATTCTTGAGAAAAAGTCATTATTTTAATATCTCAATTCTCAAGAAATTGAATAAAAATTCTTGAGAAAAAAGTCATTATTTTAATATCTCAATTCTCAAGAAATTGAATAAAAATTCTTGAGAAAAAAGTCATTATTTTAATATCTCAATTCTCGATAAATTGAATAAAAATTCTTGAGAAAAAGTCATTATTTTAATATATCAATTCTCAAGAAATTGAATGAAAATTCTTGAGAAAAAGTCATTATTTTAATATCTTAATTCTCGATAAATTGAATAAAAATTCTTGAGAAAAAGTCATTATTTTATTATCTCAATTCTCAAGAAATTGAATAAAAATTCTTGAGAAAAAGTCATTATTTTAATATCTCAATTCTCAAGAAATTGAATAAAAATTCTTGAGAAAAAAGTTATTATTTTAATATCTCAATTCTTGATAAATTGAATAAAAATTCTTGAGAAAAAGTCATTATTTTAATATCTCAATTCTTGATAAATTGAATAAAAATTCTTGAGAAAAAAGTCATTATTTTAATATCTCAATTCTCGATAAACTGAATAAAAATTCTTGAGAAAAAGTCATTATTTTAATATATCAATTCTCAAGAAATTGAATGAAAATTCTTGAGAAAAAGTCATTATTTTAATATCTTAATTCTCGATAAATTGAATAAAAATTCTTGAGAAAAAGTCATTATTTTAATATCTCAATTCTCAAGAAATTGAATAAAAATTCTTGAGAAAAAAGTCATTATTTTAATATCTCAATTCTCGATAAATTGAATAAAAATTCTTGAGAAAAAGTCATTATTTTAATATCTCAATTCTCAATAAATTGAATAAAAATTCTTGAGAAAAAGTCATTATTTTAATATCTCAATTCTCAAGAAATTGAATAAAAATTCTTGAGAAAAAGTCATTATTTTAATATCTCAATTCTCAAGAAATTGAATAAAAATTCTTGAAAAAAAAGTCATTATTTTATTATCTCAATTCTCAAGAAATTGAATAAAAATTCTTGAGAAAAAAGTCATTATTTTAATATCTCAATTCTCAAGAAATTGAATAAAAATTCTTGAGAAAAAAGTTATTATTTTAATATCTCAATTCTTGATAAATTGAATAAAAATTCTTGAGAAAAAAGTCATTATTTTAATATCTCAATTCTTGATAAATTGAATAAAAATTCTTGAGAAAAAGTCATTATTTTAATATATCAATTCTCAAGAAATTGAATGAAAATTCTTGAGAAAAAGTCATTATTTTAATATCTTAATTCTCGATAAATTGAATAAAAATTTTTGAGAAAAAGTCATTATTTTATTATCTCAATTCTCAAGAAATTGAATAAAAATTCTTGAGAAAAAAGTCATTATTTTAATATCTCAATTCTCAAGAAATTGAATAAAAATTCTTGAGAAAAAAGTCATTATTTTAATATCTCAATTCTCGATAAATTGAATAAAAATTCTTGAGAAAAAGTCATTATTTTAATATCTCAATTCTCAAGAAATTGAATAAAAATTCTTGAGAAAAAAGTTATTATTTTAATATCTCAATTCTTGATAAATTGAATAAAAATTCTTGAGAAAAAAGTCATTATTTTAATATCTCAATTCTTGATAAATTGAATAAAAATTCTTGAGAAAAAGTCATTATTTTAATATATCAATTCTCAAGAAATTGAATGAAAATTCTTGAGAAAAAGTCATTATTTTAATATCTTAATTCTCGATAAATTGAATAAAAATTTTTGAGAAAAAGTCATTATTTTATTATCTCAATTCTCAAGAAATTGAATAAAAATTCTTGAGAAAAAAGTCATTATTTTAATATCTCAATTCTCAAGAAATTGAATAAAAATTCTTGAGAAAAAAGTCATTATTTTAATATCTCAATTCTCGATAAATTGAATAAAAATTCTTGAGAAAAAGTCATTATTTTAATATCTCAATTCTCAAGAAATTGAATAAAAATTCTTGAGAAAAAAGTCATTATTTTAATATCTCAATTCTCAAGAAATTGAATAAAAATTCTTGAGAAAAAAGTCATTATTTTAATATCTCAATTCTCGATAAATTGAATAAAAATTCTTGAGAAAAAGTCATTATTTTAATATATCAATTCTCAAGAAATTGAATGAAAATTCTTGAGAAAAAGTCATTATTTTAATATCTTAATTCTCGATAAATTGAATAAAAATTCTTGAGAAAAAGTCATTATTTTAATATCTCAATTCTCAAGAAATTGAATAAAAATTCTTGAGAAAAAAATTAAAAATTTTATTTGCTTTAATGATTAATCTAATTCAAATTATAGCTCTATGTTCTTTACATGTGCGTAAGCTAAATGCTGCGCAAGGTTTTCTTTTTCTTTCTGTTTTTTTTTTTTTACATTAAATACTAATATTATGATAGCAAGAGTTTTCAAGTAATAATTTATTGCAATATTTTATATTTTATATAAGAAAAGAAAGATTATATTTTTAATTAAATTTTGATTTGTCTGATTCTTTCAAACAATCTTACAAAAACTTATTTGTAATTTTATTAATTTATTTATTCTAGTTTTTATAGAAAAATGAGCAACAATGACAAGAGCAAGAGTTACTAACAGGGCCGACGACACAGGTTTTGAAGTGGAGGGGGGGGGGGGGGTACAATCATCAATTTGTGAAAAAAGTCCTCTATATCAAGATTATTTAAAAAAAAAAAAATAATTAAAAAAAAAAAAAAAGTTATTAGAAAATTATTATGCAAAGGTTCAGCAACGATTGGTCTGCGGAGACATCTTGAAAATGTCCACAAATACACTCGCATATTAGAAAGTTCTACGTCTCATCAAAATAAACAGAATAAAGTTAAAAATTTAACTAATGAAACTATTTTAAAATTTGTAAAACGACCAACCCTGGCTGAATTGATTTCTAAATTGGCTGCTGAGGACGGTATATTGTTCAATAAAATTACTAAAAGTGAATTTATATGGCAAAGTATGACCTCCAGGGGATTCAGATTACCTCAAAATCCTTCTGAGGTAAGACAATTAATGGTGGAATAGCAAGAAAGAAGAGATAGTACAGATTATAAAGAAACTAAAGGACAAAGAAAGAAAGTTCAGCATATCTATTGACAAATGGACAAGCGTTAAAAATCGTAGATTCATGGGTGTTCATTTATACAGAAATAATGAAAATAATTCATTTAACCTTGGTTTGATTTTTATCGAAGGAAGTTGTACATCAGAAATAACTTTGGATATACTGTCACAAAAATTAGAAGAGTTGGGTCTATCCTTACAAGAAGATATTGTGACTGTTATGAGCGATGGTGCTGCGGTTATGAAGAAATTTGGTAGATTATCGCCTGCCTTGCAGCAATTATGCTACAACCATGGCATACATCTAGCAGTTTTAAAAAGCTTTAATGCTGAACCAAAAAAATGAAAATAAATCAATCCGTAGATGAACTTGAGACTGTAGATAGTGACGATGATGCTAGCATTGAAAGAGAAGAAGAAGATAACTTTGATTTGGAAATTGATGTTACGCAGCAAAAACTTTTCTATTAAATCCCAAATTAAAGATGCAATTGTAGGAATACAAAAAATTGTAAAACTCTTTAAAAATTCTCCAGTGAAAAATGGTGTTTTACAAAAATATGTAAAACACCAAGAACAAAAAGAAATGGCTTTGTTGCTAGACTGTAAAACACGCTGGAATACTAGTGAAATAATGGCAAAGCGGTTCTTAAAAATCAAAAACTGTGTGCAAATGGCATTAAGTGAATTAAATTTGAGCCATTTGTGGAAAGATAATTACATAAAAATGGCCGAAATACTATTAGATGTATTAGAAGTCGAGCTGATGCAACATTATTAACGGCTAAAAGAGCCTTAAAATTTTTATTTAACAAATTAGAGGAAGAATGTAGAAAGAACCAAATAAGTAGAGAGTTCTTAAACAATATAAAAGAAGAAATAAGTAAAAGGAGAAATGATGTTGTTTCTTTATACAAATTTTTACATAACCCAACAAATGATGAAAAATATGCTTCTTCTTTTTTTAAATCTTTGTCAAAAAATGGTTTTTATAAAACTGCTAGAGAAATATTTGATAGATTGTATGGGTCATCTGATCCAAAAAAGATCTGACTGAAGACACCTCCACTAGCAGCAATGTCAACACTGAGCTATCACTTGAAGAACAACTAAATTTAGCTATAACAAATACAACAAAAGAAATTATGCCACGCCAAAGTTGCAATAATGATAACCAGAATCTTTATCAGACACTTAAAAAAGAATGGAGCATATTCCAAACAACTGTAATAAGGTCAAAAAATTTGTAAAATCTAAAAGATTCATTATCTTCAATAAAACCAACTTCAACGCAAAATGAACGTAATTTCTCGACTGCAAATAATTTTGAAAAAAAAAGAAACAGATTATCAAACACATCATTGAATGCATTATGCTTTTTAAAATAAAAAATTTTTAAAATATTACTTCAAAATATTTTTAAAATATTACTTCAAAAACAATAAATAAAAACTTGTTACACTTTTATATTTTATAGTATATCTTTTTTTCGTCATATTTTTTTTCTTATATTATTAAATTGACTTTTATATTTTGTACTTTGGTGTTTTTTTAATCCAATGTTTGTTCTCATACATTTTATGAACATATATGATATTAAAATTTGAAAAAAATTACGACTTTGACATTTCTAAAAATTTCTTGAGAATTCTCGAGAAGCTCATTCTCAATTTCTAATTTTTAATTTATTAAAACTAAGAACATCTCACCTCTTCTGATGGTGCAACCATAAACTGTTGTAGATCAGATATAGACATATTTAGTATAGAACATGCAAGATCATGTGCCTTACTCATTTGACCATCTACTTGTGCATCCTGAGTCCCAGTAGATAACTTACGGGTAGATTCTGAGTAAGATCGATAGCTATGAATTTGTGTTAGTATTGATTCAGTAAATATCTAAATTAAAATTTCAAGAAATTTTAATTAAGCAATCTATCCTTAATTAAAATATTTTGTAATTAAGGCATCAAGCCTCAGAATTAGGGTCCGCATTCTGCAATTCCCAGGGTTGAGGTATATATTCTGTAATTAATGTACAATTACATTATAAATAACTAAGATACCTATTCGTAATTTAGATAATATTCTTTAAAAACTTTGGCATTATTCTAGGATAATATATTTTATTCTAGGGTAATATATTTTATTCTAGGATAATATATTTTATTCTAGGATAATATATTTTATTCTAGGATAATATATTTTATTCTAGAATAATATATTTTATTCTAGGATAATATATTTTATTCTAGGACAATATATTTTATTCTGTAATAATATATTTTACTCTATGATAATATATTTTATTCTAGGATAATATCCTATTCTAGGATATTCTTGATTAAAGTATAAATAGGAACAATTTTAAAAACTAATAAACTCAAATTTAACTTTATTTTGAATATATTAAACAATAATTTTTTTTTTTTGAATGAAACTAATAATATAATAATATCTCTTCCTGGCCATCTATAATAAATACCTAAATAAAAACTAAAATAAGCTATTTTAAAAATTTGAAGAACTGAAGATTTTTTTCTGTCAAACAAGAATATCAGGAAGACACAAGAATGAAATTAGTATAATACCATAATGTTTTTTTTTTTAAATAAAGTTTATCAACATTTTAATTATTTTATAAGAGACTTAATAGAATTAATTACGTTAATTTATTATATTGTTATAAAGTATGAAAACTTATTCTTTTTAGATAATTAAAAAAAAACATCAAACCATGCAATCTATGTCTGTATAACACTTCAAAACACTTAAGAAACCTCTATATTTTTGAATGTTTGAGACAAGAGAGCTATTAACTGTCTAAATATATAATTTGAACTTGGTTGTTTCAACTTGTGATCTTAGTATTAAAGGTTATCTTTCTTTAATTCGCAAAGAATCCAATAGTCATATGCTTGGCCTGGGCATTTACATTCGTAAGAATTCACCCATTTGTCAGGAAACTAGGTTTGAGTTGAAAGAATCTATCAGCAAAATACTTCTCCAGAAAAAAAGATGTCTGTTTACTATTGCTAGAAACCATTGTAAAAAGGTTTTGTCTAATGCCAAAGTTAGATTAAAATCTTCATGAAATCTCATATTTATTCTCAAAAATTTTGCTCCCGTGACTTCTGGAGAATCTTTAACAGTATCTGTAATAAAAGTAAACCTGTTATTTCACTTCTCTTGAGAGGTTCAGATTTTGTCAACTCACCTAAAGACAAGCTGAATTGTTTGCAATAAACTTTTCATCAATATCATCTCTTGATTCCACTAGTTGCATTCTACCTGATATAGCCAACTAACAGGTTGATCCATTGCTTGACATTTGTATCACTCCAGCTTCTGTATCTAAAGCGATTAGTGCTTAGACTCTTCTACAGCTTGTGATCCAGACTGCATATCTGTCTTGCAGAAGTGTTCTCCTTTACCGTCTATACTTTCAAAACTATTTAACAAGTGCTTATCAGAATCTTGTTTTCCAGCCTGGAAGTTTTAAGTCTTGTTTTCCAGCCTGCTGAAATGTGGCCTCTGTTATCCCTGTTTTCAAAAACTCTGGAGAGCGATCTGACTTGTCTAACTACCGTCCCATTAGTCTTCTTCCTAAAATTTGAATCTTTAATTAACAAACACTTAATCTCTCATCTTGAATCTAATAACTTTCTGATCATCAATATGGATTTTGATCTACCTGTTCTACAGCTGATTTGCTAACAGTAATAACCGATAGGTTTTATTGTGCATTAGATAAAGGTGGAGAGGTTAAGGCCATTGCTCTTGACATTTCTAAAGCTTATGATCAAGTTTGGCATGGTGGTCTTCTCCACAAGCTCCCTTCTTATGGTGTTTCAAGTAACATCTTTAAGATTATTGAATCCTTCATTACCAATCGCAGTATAAAAGTTGTTTTCAATGGATAGCACTGTTTTTCACATCCTATAACTTCAGGGGTTTCTCAAGGTTTTATCCTTGGTCCTTTACTTTTTAATTTAATTTACATTAACAATCTTCCGGATATTCTCACATCTAAGGTGGCATTGTTTGCCGATGACACTAACATTTATTCTTGCCTTGATAAGAAATCAACACTCTCTAATTGCTTGGAGGGGAGATTTGAGCTTAAAAAAGATCTCACTTCTACTACTAGCGTGGGACTCTCAGTGGCTGGTGAACAAACTCAGATAAAACTCTTTTATCTGAATTAGCTTAAAAATATTTTTTTCAGCTAATTGTTATTGCAACAATCTAGACCTGCCAATATTTATTAATACTATTGTACTTGATGAGTCATCTACCCTTCATCTTCTAGGATTAACTCTTACTTCCGATCTTTCTAGGAAACCATATATCAAATTAATTGCAAACTTAGCGCCTGCTAACGTTGCATTTCTTTATCATGTTTGGCCACTTCCTTACTCCGGATTTTATTCTTTATATCTATAAATCTCAAATCCCTTTTTGTAGTGAATACTGTTGTCATATCTAGGACGAATTTTCCAATGATGCTCTTTCTCTTATAGACAAGGTACAAAAACGCTTTGTAAACATAGTTGGCCCTGCTCTTGCAGTTAGTAGCAGCTTTAATGTCTTCTGCAATGTCCTTAGATGTTGAATATCCTTTGATGTTGAATGTCATCTGCAATGTGCTTTGAAGTTGAATGTCTTTAGCATGAGAAAAACTAGTTGAACAAAAAAATATCAAGAGAAGAAAAAATTATTTTATATTTAAAAAAGCTGGAAACATAATAAATATCCTACAACATTTGAACATAAAAATATTTCAAAACTTTTAAACTTTAAATTAAAACAATTTTGTGGTAATATAATTATATTAACAATGTAAATAAAATAATGTCCATAATGTGAAAAGCAAATAAAAAGAAGTTAATGACACCACAAATCACATTACACTTTTTTACAGATTTTTTGTTCATCATAACTCTTTTTACATAAGTATTTATTGATGTTATCAAAAAAAGAGCTTTTGTTAATAAAGTATTTATTGATGTTATCAACAGAAAAACTTTTGTTAATGAATTGCAAACAAACCTTAATACCCTTCTTCAATTCATTGATATTTATAGTTAAGTTTTCACAGCGAGTTGAAAGAATTTGATTAGTTTCATCATATAACTTTTGCTGACTTTTTAAATGCTGGAACGCAGACTTCTCCATTTCATTTATAGCTAGTTCTGCTTGCTTGCATAGATGTTGGCTTTCTTCTAATAAATGAGTCTATTTAAAAAAAAGTCAGTACCATATTATTGAATAGTATCAGTAGCTGTTTATCATTATTTAACACACAATAAATTAAAAAAAACTTTTAAATTTACACACAATTACACACTTTTCTTAAAAATGATTGTGATCTACACTTTAAATAAACTATTTAATTTAACTACAATTAACTATTATTATTAACACATTTAAAATAATAGTAACAAAATATTTTGGGTTTACATTATTGCCGAAGGCCAAAAAAATAATAACATAAGAAATTATAGTTTACCTTGTTTTGAAGTTCAAGTTTACATTCAGCCAAACTAGCACGCAAAGTGGATATTTCTTTAGTTAATGCATTTTTCTTTTCTTTTAAAGTTTCAGCCTAAAGCCAGTTTTCAGTGAAATTCATTTAAATGATACAACATACGAAAAATCATTTGAAAAAGTTAATCATACATATAACTTGCTTTTCTTTTCAAGTTCGTTAGCTTCTTTTAACTGTTCTTTTAAATGATCCTAATAACAAGAAAAGATTAACAAAATATCTATAGTGAGATTACTAGAAAATTTTTGAACTTTTCCAGTATCTCAAATTAACTGAAAAATATCTTGGCCATTGTAACAACTTAAGATAAAAAAGGTAAAAAGGTAAAAGAAAAAAATATTTCTGAAAGTTTCTGATGTTGGAAAAAAATTGTCAACCTCAGAAACTGATGATAGCTAAATATGACATGAGAAAACTTGAAGCCAGAACTTAACCGAACTTTTCAGCCTTAGGTGGGGGATGTAGCATTTTTTTGAATTTAATTTTTGCCTGAAATACTAAGATTTTGCTTCAATAATCTGGCCACCACCTGTTGATGTTTTCTGTTAGGTGTGCAATATTTACCAGTGACAGTGTTGATGCTTTAAAAAAAATTTGAATAGATAATTATTATGAACTATTATAAATATAGTAAGGCCAATTATCAGACCTATAAGGTTAAAAGTTGCCATGGTTAGCATAGCTTACGTGATCAGGCTTTGAATACTTATTTACAAGTGACAGTATTGATACTTTAAAAAAAATTATATATATATATATATATATATATATATATATATATATATATATATATATATATATATATATATATATATATATATATATATATATATATATATATATATAAATTTTAACTCTGACAAAAGTTATTTATTGCAAACAACTATTGCAATACTGTCGACATTTCTATATTAATGAATGGCAACCCTCTCACTGAGTCCTCTTCTTTATGTCTTCTTGGATTATCATTTACTACTGACCTTTCAAGAAAACCATGTATACAATCGATTGTTAAATTAGTATCTGCTAAGGTTGCTTCTCTTTATCATGCTAGCCATTTTCTTACCCCTGATTCTATTCTCTATCTCTACAAATTTATTTGTGCCTGTATGGAATACTGTTATCATATATAGGCTGGTTCTTTTAATGATGCTCTTTCTTTTCATGACAAGGTCTAAAAACCCATTGAAAATGTAATTAGACCCACTCTATCTACTAAGCTTGAGCCTCTTTCCCATCATTGTAAAGATGCATCTCTTTCTTTTTTCTACAAATACTATCATGGTCGCTGCTCAAAGAGTTATCATGTCTAATTCCATCACCTAAAACTCATTCTCTCTTAACTCACTATTCAACTAAGACTCATTTGTTTACTGTATCTGTCCATACATGGTCTAAAAACTTTTATATTTCTAGTTTTTTCTCCGCACTTTAACCCCGTTGGAACTCTTTCCTATCTTCATGTTTCCTGACTCATACAACCTATAGTTTTTCAAGTCTTCTTGAAGCTACTCAAGCAAGTAAAAGCATAGCAAAAAGTGTTAACCTTTAAAAATTGTTTTTACATTTTCCTTTACAAGTATCAGTGGAAGAATGGTTGGTATAGCTTATGGCCTGTTCCATGCCCCCCTTCCCCCAATGGTTGGTATAGCTGATGGATGTATAAGCAAATAAAAAAATAATCTGACTTACACACTTGACACTATATTCTTTGTTTTCTTTTTTTAAGGTAATATTCTTCTCTTTTAATTCAGATATAATATCTTTCTTCTGATTCAAGTTTTTCTCAAGCATAGCGATTCTTTTTTAGTAAAAAAGAAATTAACTTTTAAAATTACATGTATTAATTTACATTTTTTAATAAAAAAGAAATTTACTTTTAAAATTAGAATTAGTACTTTACATGTTGAAAAAAAATCTTACTTTTCTTGATCAACTTTTAATTTTTCTGTCAGCATATCATTTTCTTGTTTGGTTGTTTTGGCATGAAATGAATGCTTTGAACATTCTTCTGTACATATTCGTAATTTGTTTTCCATTACTTTTAATGCAGCAGCAGAACTTTTTGAATTTATGCTTTCTCTTTGTTGTTCTTCTAAAATTGTGTTTAACTCGCGAGTGCAATTTTCCAAATCAATGTTTCTAGCCTAATTTTAAATGTTTTATACATTAAAAAAATTATTTAAATATTTTTCTTTACTTATCATAAATCACTTAAGATTTTCTGAATTACTTGTAAATATTCTTTAGAAACTTGTAACTTTTGAAGTGTGGTTACAAGATCTTCTTTTAACTTTGCATTTGAAGACTCCAATTCTAACACAAGTTTATTCAATGAATTCTTTGATTCTCGAAGTTGAAATACCTTAAATAAAATTGTATAAAATAATCAATGACATACATTTATATCATAGACACACATTAGGGGAAGTGGGGGCAAAGGATTAAGCAATATTTGATTTTAGTGTTAAAGATATGAGTTATCAGCGTTATTTAATTAAGTGAAAACCATTTTTGATATCAACATAACCTAATAAGCAAGCTATGTATCTTTTCTAAAAATTCTCTTCTGGGGCAAAACTGCATAGACGCACAAGAGGCACAACTGCATACTTTTGATATTTATCAAAGTTAGGTAATTATGAATAACAATATATACAATCATAACACTTAAATGTGTTTATGTAAAAACTTGAATAGAAATAGTTTTGTTTTGAGATGTTGGAAATTAGATTTCTTTTTTTTTTTAATTAATTTTTATAAACGAGTTATAGATTAAAATATAAAGCTATGAATATAAATGGATATCTTGTTATATTTATCTGGTGATTATTATATTATTATGTATTGTAGGTATATATTTGTCTATTTCTTAATTTTTTTTTTAGTGTTAATGAGTTATCAGCGTTATTTAATTAAGTGAAAACCATTTTTGATGTCAACATAACCTAATAAGCAAGCTATGTATCTTTTCTAAAAATTCTCTTCTGGGGCAAAACCGCATAGACGCACAAGAGGCGCAACTGCATAATTTGATAATTATCAAAGTTAGGTAATTATGAATAACAATATATACAATCATAACAATTGAATGTGTTTATGTAAAAACTTGAATAGAAATAGTTTTGTTTTGAGATGTTGGAAATTAGATTTCTTTTTTTTTTTAATTAATTTTTATAAACAAGTTATTGATTAAAATAAAAGCTATGAATATAAATGGATATCTTGTTATATTTATCTGGTGATTATTATATTATTATGTATTGTAGGTATATATTTGTCTATTTCTTAATTTTTTTAAAAATGCACCATTAAAAGTGTACCTTCAATGATTTTTGTGAGGGTAAAGTTGTGCCTCACAATGGGGGTAAAACTATTTTTTCCACTAAGTGTACTTTTTGTGTAATAACATTTTAGAAAACCATTTTATTTTTTTCCTAATTGCAGCAATTTGAAGCTTAATAATGTGGTTATTGAAATAAACTATTAAAAAGACACATTTCCCTTTTGTTTTCATATAATATCAATCCAAACATTACGGGGCGGTATGCCCCCAATTCCTCTATATCAAAGGACATTTAAAAAAATGTCTGTAACAATCATCAATGACACACTATAATATATTAAAGTACACATTGTTAGATTGTAGTATCGTCAAGATACTTAAGGTTTAAAACAATAAAAAGGACAGCCATAAATCTTTCTTGAATGATGATATGGTGTTGTAGTACTCATTTTAAACTTAACATTGAAAGCTTTATCTATTAAAAACATTCCGATGATAGTTTAATAACTCTTGAACAAAAAAAAAACAACTTTAAAACAACTGTAAAATTTTTTTAGTATAATTATACAGTAGAATCCTGTCGGACAAATTTTCAATTGAATTCTCTATACATACCAAAAGCTTTGCTTAATTCGGATAATTGCTATGTCAGACAAAATATATATACCTGTTCAGAGTCCAAGTTACCAGATTCCACTGTATAAGGTCATAAATCTTTTTAAGTAAATTTGTCAAGCTTTATCCACTAAACACTCAGCTTAAATTTTATGTCTGATTTAATTAGTTAATTTCCATTTAAAATTAAATGCCTAGGGCACCAAAAAGGATGCTAAACAGAATGACTTTAAAGTTTTGAAATAAATGGAAAAAAATGTTTATGTCTAAGTTTTAAAGTCTGTTAATTCAAAAAAATATTTTACCAATCTCTAACAAATATTAAAAGACTCTTGTGTATGCAATGGAAAGTATTCTGCATAACATTCCATGACAATTTAATAATTATTTTTGAAAATATTTTGCTTTATTTATTAAAAAATTAAAAAAAAAAGTATTTAATTAATAAACAACAATAAAGATATATAAAAAATCAACATATAACATATAACATCAAGAACACTTAATCAACAAACATTTTTCACATTCAAAAAATACTGGATTATTTTTCAACTAATAACTAGTCCCCAATAAAACCATATAGTGTTTTTTAGTGACGAAAACAACATTACACTTAAAGCAACAACATTGCACTTGAAGCAACAATATTGCGCTTGACACAACATTGTGCTTGAAGTAACAACATTGCACTTGAAACAACAACATTGTGCTTGAAACAAAATTGAAACAATGTAAATTTAATATAAAAAAGTGTTAGGAGATAATTAAAATATACCAATATATTTTTGTGATTTGCAATATCAATAAAAACCTGGTTTTCAAGTGATAAAACTCTTTTCTTTAAACTTCGATTTTCATGATTTTCAGTGTTATATGAGACAAGATGTTTTGCATCATCACTTTTCTTTTTTTTATTTATTTCTTTATTTTCAACAACCAAAATAAAGTCTGTTTGCGTTTCTTTTGTCAAATTTTTTTCCTTAAATGTTTGTGTGCTTATATTGCAACTAATTTTACTTGGTGATTGATTTGTAACTCTGTCATTATAAACAAAATCAATAACTTCATTCATTTTTCTAAAAAGCTCTTCTTCCTTAAAAAGTTCATTAGTTTGAGTAAAAGATGTAACAGTTGACTTGATACACTTGCTTAGTTCAGAAGTTACAGATGCTAATTTTATGCTCAATGAACTAATAGATAAACAACAAATTTTATTTTGTTTTATTGTAACTAAAAACAATTTTAAGTAAAAATAGTAAAAATATTTCTGTTATACCTGATTTCATCATTTTTGGCATCACTTGCTGCTTTTATTTTAAACATTTCTTCTTTTAAACCATTTAACTAAATTATATTACAATTGTTGTTTAAACATTTATCTAAATTATATTACAATTATTGATAACACTATAAAAAGTAAACACGTTATAGTGAAGAGAAAATGGTTAAAAAAAAAAAAAAGACTAGAAAGTAAAAAAAAGAAGATATGCGATTTAGAAAACAAGAAATTATGGTGAAAATGCATATGTAAAAAATTTTAAATTTGTGTCTAATCCCATTTTCAACTTCTCTTTAAATTAATTCCATTAAATAGGTGTTTAACTGTTTAAGTCATAATCAGTTATAAAGAAAGAAATTTTGTTTAATTAAATTGTAAATAAATAAATCAATATCAATCCTGTATGATACATTAAGACATAATAGATCGATAAAACCTGTTAAATGTCAAGATATATGGTTACTAAAACACTGTATTACAATTACTGAACAACAACAAAAAACTTATTTGACACATAACAGAAGAAAATGTCTTGGTGCAGCAAAAAACTGTTTGTGTGTTCAATAATATAAAAAAAATCTGGGAAAAAACATACAAAAAAAATACAATTGTTGTTACATGTACTTACGTGCTTGTTTAACTTACATACTTGTTACATGTACTTACGTAATTGTTACACGTACTTACGTACAGATAGCATACAAATCAAAGAATAAGCACTCAATAAAAATAAATAAAGTTCTTCTATAATCAGACCTTAATAAACATTACATAATCACAAACTTTACAAGTGCAGAATAAATGCCTCATAAGCAGGGTTGGCATTAAAAAACCCGCCCAAAAAAACCCGCCCAATAAAACCCAAAAAAACCCGCTTAAAAAAACCCAAAAAAACCCTGGAAAATCTGGGTTTTATTGGGTTTTTTTAAAGATATTTAATAAGTTTATGAACTATTATAACCAACTTTAACATTATAACTATAATTTTATTTACTAAAATAATTATTAACTATTATTATTAACTTAATTAATATTAACTATTTTTATTAACTATTATAACCAACAATAACAGCTATCAGAGCAGGTTTACTATTATTTGAATCATTATTTGGAAATACATTATTACTATTTTTATTCAAATATTTTTATCGATTGAGATTTTTATTACTTTATGTTGTTCACCTCTTAAGTTGAATTTAAATGAGTAGTAGTGACCAGAGAAGCCAACACAACAGTCGAGGGGGCTACCTTGTTGTGGTTACAACCCTCTCTCAACTCTTTTGCGGTAGTGGTGTTGTGGTAGAGCGCTCACTTCATAAGTGAGAGGTTCTGAGTTCGATCTTCACCATGTCCCTGGCAGTACCGCGCTCAACTCCTTTCTCCGTGCAGCGGCCTTGTTCCTCAAGGTTCGTGATTCGGAGTTATAGAGTTGAGAGAGGGTTATAACCACAAATAAGTAGCCTCCTCGCCTGTAGTGACCATAAGCTTTGAGGAGGTGAATTGATTTAAAAAAAAAAAAAAAAACTCTTTAACTCCTAAACACGAATCTTTATAAACAAGGCCGCTGCGCAGAGGAACAAGTTTGTTCATTCGAATTTCAAGTTCAAAGTTTAATTGAAACTTCAGTTACTACCTCCCATTCTCAAGCCTTCTTTTTCACATTTTCTCATTGACATTTTTAATTATATAGAATAATACTTTAAATTTTAAAATAAATCAATACATATAGATTAAGCGTGAAATTTTTTTTTTCTATTACAGTTTTAAATTATATTTAAAATCTTTTTCAAAATAATTTGAAAAATTCTTGTTATAAATAATTAAACAACAATATATTAAATATATTTAAAATAAAGTTAAAGTAGAAAAAAACTAATTTTCAATATCATTAAACAAAAACACAAAATTTTTTTTTACAAAGACAAACTAAAAATTAAACCCAAAAAAACCCAAATTTACCCAATAAAACCCAATAAAACCCAAAAAAACCCACTGGGCCGGGTTTTTTTAAAAAAACCCGGGTTTTTGCCAACCCTGCTCATAAGCAAATTTTTTTCAAATTGAAATTTCTTATTGTATTTTGTTTTGTGATAATTTTGAAACTTTGAAAATTAAAAAATAGTAATTATAAATTAGTATGATTATAAAGAACTTTAAATTTAAAATTAAAAAAAAAATTGTAATTTTCCAAAAAAACATTTCTAGTACTAAATAAATGGGCAGGAAAGTTATTACAGGAAAGTATTATTATGACACTATGAAAAACATAACAACAGCATACATAATAACTTATTATTTTTATAAAAGTTCAACCTTTTCCTCCCATATTTTCTGTTGCTTTTGTGTGTTTATCTGAGTAATCTTATGCTCTTCTTCTTTTTTTTGAAGTGCTAAAATAAAGAACTATTTAAATAATGAATATGGAAATATTCAAGTTGAAATACCAAAAAAATACTAAAAACATAATATAGAAATGTCCAAAATTATGAGAATGAAACAGTATGTTCAAATCACACTTATATCTGCAAGCTGACATCTGTGCTGCAAGAAAGCTATAATGGGTTAAGTTTAACTATTTATGCCAGCCTTAATGTTTTCAAAATCTACAAATCTATATACCAGAATAAATATTATATAATAAATTGTCTAAACTAAATTATTCAAGTAAAGTGTAACAAGCTATAAAACAGTATACTTTTTTTTAAGTTGAAAACCTGAAGCTCAAGTTGGTTGATAACTGTCAAATCATGAGAGGACTTAACTTGAAGAGAATCTATTTCCAACAAAAGTTTTTCTCTAAAATAAAAAAATACAAAAAACAAAACAAAAAAAAACAAACAAACATAAAAACAAACAATTTACGTTCTTATAAAAAAAAATACAAGATTATTTTAAACTTTTTAAAGCAAATCTTAATTTTTATCATGAAAGAACAAAATAACTAATAAACAAATAAACCTATTACCTATCAAAATTTAATTTTTTACACTCTTTATGAAAGTACTCCAATTCATTCACAGTATGAGTATCTTCATTCTGAAATGATTTTGTAAATGTTCTTTGAACTAGTAATTCAGAATCTTTTAAAGGCCTAATAAAAAAATAATTATTGTGTATGTATGTATGTATGTATGTATGTATGTATGTATGTATGTATGTATGCATGTATGTATGTATGTATGTATGTATGTATGTATGTATGTATGTATGTATGTATGTATGTATGTATGTATGTATGTATGTATGTATGTGTGTATGTATGTATGTATGTATGTATGTATGTATGTATATATATACCTATACATATATATATATATATATATATACATATATATATATATATATATATATATATATATATATATATATATATATATATATATATATATATATATATATATATATATATATATATATACATATATATATATATATATATATACATATATATATATATATATATATATATATATATATATATATATATATATATATATATATATATATATATATATATATATATATATATATATATATATATATAAAACCCTCGGAATTAGGGTCATCATTCAGCTAGCTGCCGAACAAAAAGTGTTTGAGGTCTGCAATTTTTTGCCGACCTCGTTTCTATGTTGTATAGTAACCGTTTTGTGTAAAAATATTTTTGCCCGCCTAATGCTAACCTCTAACTGATTGAGGTTGGCAATTTATTGTTGAGCTCATTTTTTCTCATTCTGAGAGTTGTATGTATATATATATATATAAATATATATATATAAATATATATATATAAATATATATATATATATATATATATATATATATATATATATATATATATATATATATATATATATATATATATATATATATATATATATATATATATATATATATATATATATATAATGAACTTTAAAACAAATAAAATTAATTAAAAAATAATCAAACAAATTTGAAAACAATTTTTTTTTTAATTGCACAAATATCAAAATTATTGTTGTTTTTTTTATTAATTTATTTTCAAACTTTATAAAAACCAGTTGATTTTTATCCACTAAAACTCCAGCTTTGGTTCTAGCAAAAACTAGAAATTTTGTGACTATGCTCTATAAGCCTGATGACAGAAACCTGCTCTTGTAGCAAAATAAATACTGTTGGTAGTGATCTAAACCAGTAAAACTATTTTCTTAAGAAGCCACACTATTTCCTTAGCCAATACATTGATAATACTTTACAGTAAAAAAAATTGTAAAGCTAATAAAAATTTTTGTTTTTGTGAATCAGTTTAGTGGAGGGGTGCACGCTCTTTTTGTTTTTGTGAATCAGTTTAGTGAAGGGGTGCACGCTCTTTTTTTCTAAATCAACACTAATTCATTTAAGTTTTTATTCAAAAAAACACTGTCACTGTCTTTTATTCAAAGAATTATAAAAAACACTGTCTTACTGAATTTTTGGGGAAGATTTATAAGTTTTTAACTGCTGCAAAACCAGATCATAATTTTGCTGGAGAACGTTATAGCCCTGTTGCATTTGTTTGTATGATGATTGTAGTGTAGAGAGTTCAGCTCCCTAAAAATATATAACTATTATTAAATACCCCCTAAAATCATGAAACCTTTAACCTGACCTGACATTAGAAAATCTAACTTCTCACTAAGTGCAATTAAAGTTATGGATAGTAATATATATATATATATATATATATATATATATATATATATATATATATATATATATATATATATATATATATATATATATATATATATATATATATATATATATAGAAGTCATGCATATGTAAAAACCATTGTAAAAAGGTTTTGTCTAATGCCAAAGTCCGCTATTTTCAGGTCACAAAATCTCATATTTTATCTCAAAAATTAGGCTCTCGTCCAGAATACAGAAACAGTGTCTATAATAATGGCAAATCTGTTATTCCTCCTCTCTTGGATGTTTGACAAGATGAAACAACTAAATATTTCCTTTTTAAAGTTTTATGTTTATGACAATCATAATGTAAATGATATTTTAAATTAAATGACAAAAAAAATAAACTTTAAAATACAACATAAAATTAAATAAAAAATAATTTTACCATAATACAAAACACGATTAAAGAATTAAATTTTAATATTTTATCATAATATGAAATAGGAAATAAATTACTGATGTACAAAAATCATTAAAAAAATCATAAAAAGTCAAAATGAAATTAGTCTTTCAGAAGGTGAATAAATAAAAAGATTATCCACAAACCACAAACACTCATTCATGCAAAAAAATGCAAAACTCAGTTACCTATTCCAATTACATAGAAAAAAAAAAAATTAAAGTTTCATAAAAAATAGAAAATAAAAAATCTTTAAAAAAAAAAAAAAAAGAAAAAAAAGTAATTAGAAGAGTAACAAAGTGAAAAAATTTTAAAGAAAAAAAAAAAAAAAAATATTAAAGTGTTGTCAAAACAGGCCTTTGTTTAACAACTAGAAACTCCAATGAGGCGCTCTCTTTTTAACAAGGTCAAAAAATTCATTGTAAACTTAAAATTACTTGACTTTCTGTCCCAATGACGAAAGGTTCAATCTTTTTTTTTTCCACAAATATTATGGTCACTGCTAAAAAATCTTTTTCAGCAACAAAAACTCAATCTTTTGTGAATCAAAGTTTTTTATTTAAATTGGCACATAAAAACAAAATTACTCATGCCACATTTTGGAAATAAGCTTTTCATATATATATATATATATATATATATATATATATATATATATATATATATATATATATATATATATATATATATATATATATATATATATATATATAAATATATAAACATATATATATATATATATATATATATATATATATACATATATATATATATATATATATATATATATATATATATATATATATATATATATATATATATATATATATATATATATATATATATATATATATTCTCTTATATTATTTGATAGAATGCCTGCCCAAACCAAACTCTCAGTCGATGTAGCAGCACTCCTTTGCGAGTCAGGCTATTTGTCAGTTGATGTAGCAGCACTTTGTTGTGAGTCAGGCTATAAGATAGTTGATGTAGCAACACTCGCGCATAGTTTACAGTAAAAAAAATTAAAATAAAACCATTTTATTTAAAAAATAAAAATAAAAACATTGTTTATATTTTTAAAAACATTCTGGTCAATTAAATTTGCGTTTTTGCGGTTTTTTAAAAATGTGATTAAATTAATGGTTTTAACTTTATGACAACACGGAAATGTTGGATGAATATCAAAAGTAATTAAAAGTGATTTGTTATCAAAAGAATAATTTTTTACCTTCCGTACTTTCAAAGCCAACAATTTATATATATATATATATATATATATATATATATATATATATATATATATATATATATATATATATATATATATATATATATATATATATATATATATATATATATATATATATATATATATATATATATAGTATATATACATATATATATATATATATATATATATATATATATATATATATATATATATATATATATATATATATATATATATATACATATATATACATATATATATATATATATATATATATATATATATATATATATATATATATATACACAAATAGTAATGTGTACTAAGGTAAGCAATACTGAAATAGCCTGCTGCTGGGGGCTTCAGTACATTAGGGTTGTTCAGTATGCTAATTTGTTTTCAGAACATAGCTAATTGAAGTTTTTCCCATTCAACTATCATATTGTGGTTCAAAAATATTTTTTACTAAATTTTATTATTTGCCCTAAAGGTCCCTCAAAGCCACTAAACATTTGACAGGTCCCTAATATTATTAAAAAAAAATTATTTAAAAATATGTCAACTTGGTACTCAAAAGAAGCAAAATTTTATAAAAATTTTAAAAACTAGATTCATTTTTTATAAAAAACAATTTAAAAAAACTTATTATAAAAAATGTTGTGAATATACCTTTTTTTCATTTTTCATTTAAATACCATAGTTTTTATACAAAAATACCTAATATTGTTATTTTTATAAAAAATACTTTTTGTTTTTGAAGTTTTTAAATGATTTTGCTTCTTTTGAGTTGACATATTTTTAAATAATTTTTTTTCAATAATATTAGGGACCTGTCAAATGTTTAGGGTCTTTGAGGGACCTTCAGGGCAAATAATAAAATTTGGTAAATAATATTTTTGAACCACAATATGATAGTTGAATGGGAAAAACTTTAATTAGCTATGTTCTAAAAACAAATTAGCATACTGAACAGCCTTACAGTACATATATTGACTGACAAATAGCCTGACTCACAGTGGAGTGCTGCTACATCGACTTAGGGTTTGGGATGGGGCAGCAATCGTTTCATTCATCATTCTTCGTATTTTTTCTTCTTTTTCTAAAAAAGCCGTATGGGTTAAGGTAAGCAAAAAAAGTGAGCAAATGCTTATAAAAATACGCTTTAGTATCTGTGTGTGTATATATATATATATATATATATATATATATATATATATATATATATATAATATAAATCAAAAACAACACCCAATTTAAAATGGACCATCATAAAAAGCGCCCCTGCCTACATCAACATGACCAAAAAATGCCTATTATGCTTATACGAGATACTATTAACTTTATTGTATAAAAATCCTAAAGAATTGTTAAACAAAAAAACGAACTAATATCTAAATAACGCCATGAGAACAAGTTTTTGCTGGACAACCACAAACCAAAAGATTAGATTTTTCTAACTCATTTTCTTTTGTACAGAATTGTTTTTTCACGAGAAAAAAAACTTATTTAAACCTGATGGTTGCATTTAGCATGAAACTTATAGCTGTGAAAAATATGTAGTTTTATTTATAAGAAATATATATATATATATATATATATATATATATATATATATATATATATATATATATATATATATATATATATATATATATATATATATATATATATATATATACTCTTGCATGGTCATTTTTAAGTTTTAACTATAAAATGTCATTTTTAGGTTTTTTCTAAAGAAAATTATTTTAAAGACCAGAAAAAATTAAAAAAAATTTTTTAAAAAAGTTTTTTTTTAATTATTTGATAGACTGCCTGCACTAACCGAACCCTCAGTTGATGTAGCAGGACTCTGTTGTGAGTCAGGCTAGAAGATAGTCGAAGTAGCAGCACTCCCTTGTAGCAACAGGCTATAAGATAGTCAATGTAGCAGCACTTCCTTGTAGCAGCAGGCTATAAGTCAGAATTTTTTTATTTTTAAAAAATAAAAACATTCAGAATGTTGTAAAAAAATTGTAATCTTTTAATTTGCGTTTTGTGGTTTTCTAATCCTAATTAGTTTCTGCAATTAAATTAATGTGTTTTGTTATAATCTAACCTTAATTTTGTCAGTTTAAATATCACAGATAGTCGAAGAGCTGTTTTTTACTACAAACTGTATATCTAAGCCCTTTACTATAGGTGTGTATATATATACATATATATATATATATATATATATATATATATATATATATATATATATATATATATATATATATATATATATATATATATATATATATATTATATATATATATATATATGAAAAGCACAACATGGAAAAATACCAACCATTGTTTTAATTAATTTTTTCAGTTTGTTCACTTTTTCTTTGGATAATTCAGTAGAGTTGTTTTCTATAAACTGTAATTTAAATAACATATTTCAGTTTACAAATTCCGTAAAATTGAAAAAAAAAAATGCGTTTTCTTAAACTTTTTAAACTTAAATATCACTTCTTATTTTGTTTTTATATAAAAATAGTAACACTCACAAAGGACAATTTGTGTACCTCTGATAATGTTGTACTAGAATGAGGTAAATTACTTGAAGCACCAATCTTCTGATACTTTTTTTTAAAACTAAAATAAAGGTAGTACAAATGACATAATTAGTATATGACATAAATAAAATTTAACTTAAACAAATGTTTTTAAAATCTAATTTAAAAACAATGATGTCTGTAAACTACATTGAAAACAATGATGTCTGTGATCTACTTTGAAAATAATGATGTCTTTGAACCACTGTGAAAACAATGATGTCTGTGAACTACTCTGAAAACAATGATGTTTGTAAATAACTCTGAAAACAATGATGTTCATAAACAACTCTGAAAACAATGATGTCTGTGAACAACCCTGAAAACAATGATGTCTTTGAACAACTTTGAAAGCTATGATGTTTGTGAACTGGTTTACAGAGTTTAAAATAAATTGAACAACAAAAATTACAAAAAGTAAAACAATTGGAAAAAAAACAAACAAACTGTTTTAACCTTAAACTTTCTTTATATTTTTTAATTAATAAATTGTATTTTTTTTGAAGATTTGCTAACTGTGTTTCACATTCCAAACACTTTTTACAGTTCTAAAATAAATAAAAAAATAATTTATGAATGTATTTAAAATTTATAAATCAACTTGTTTCTCTGGACTACAACCTTGTTCGTTAGGGTTTGCATGTCAGACCTAAAAGAGTTGAGAGAAGGTTGTAACCACAATAAAATAAAATAAAAAAGCAGCCTTCTCAACTGAAGTGGCTCTCTCAGCCTTAGGGAATTAAATAAAATAAAATAAAAAAGAAGCCTTCTCAAATGAAGTGGCTCTTATAGCCTTAGGGAAGTATATAAAATAAAATAAAAAAGCAGCCTTCTCAACTGAAGTGACTCTCTCAGCTATAGGGAAGTGAACAAAATAAAATAAAAAATAAAGATTATACTTATCACAATTAAAAACCTAAAAAAAGTTTTTCTTTTAAGACTTTTCTAAAAGTTTTTGTTCTTTTAAGACTTTTTAATGATTATTGCTAATAATAAAAATGTAAAACATTTGCTGTTGAATTCTATCTTTGTTTTCGTTTTGATTCTATAGTCAAATTTTTAAATTTAATTTGCTAAATATTTCATTTTAGTAATCTCCTTCCTTCCTGCCTACCCCAAACAAAAAAAGAAAAAAGAAATATAATTTATTAAAAAACTACATAAAAATTTTTATTTACAGCTGCAAACCCTTTGTTTTCCTCTGTCAACTTTGAAAAAAGTTTTTGCTGCATCTGGGTTTTTCCAACCAGCTCATTTATTTTCTGAAAAAAAATTTTATTATTATAATAAACATCTACTTTTTACGAAATTTTTAGAACTCATAAAATCTAAGAACTCATAAAATACTATGAAAGGTATTGGCATACAATCAGTTATAAATAGTAAAATGCAAAATAATAAATAGTAGTGTATAAAAAGTGTTGTTACGAATATGTTAAAAATTTATTAGGAAAAAAACAAGTAGTTTTTAGTAATGAATTTAAAAAAACATATTGTTAGCAGTTAAAAAAAAAAAAATTTAATAAGTATAAAATCATAAAAAATGCCAAAGCTTAAAATTTAAAAAAAACAATGATGGAGAGAAAAAACTGGTAAAAAATTACTAAAATAAACATCAATGCTTTAAATATTAAAATCAATGCATGTTTTTCATTGCATAAAAGAATATTCATAATAAATTAATCAGATTAAAAAAGATAACAAAATAATAATAAAATGATGATAATGAAATATTAAAATGATAAAATATTAAGTAATTCTGTAAATTACTTGATGAAAATGATAAACTAACATAAAATAAACTTATATAATTTTCATGACAATGCAAAGTATTTGATTTAGATATACTATTTTTGCACACAAATATAAAAAAAAATTGATTTGTAAAAACTACAATAAATCTATAAATTCTAATTCTAATTATCTATTTAATCATTTGTCTTTAATCAATACAACTTTGCTCTTTTTCTTAATTGTCTTCCTCTGTGAAGTCAATAGAATGGCTAAGGGATCCTCCATAAATTACATAAAGCAAAATTTTACAATAAACAAAACAAAAAAAGATCAAAAGTTTTCCCTCCCAGAGACTTAATTTAAATAAATAATCAAAAAAGGAAATTAAGTTAAATGAAAATCGTCGTGTAAAAGAGCTTAATATCTCCTACTTTAGTTCTTAAAATATTTTTTGCATTGTATAATTTATGGACGATCCCTAATTACAAATATCATTTCGTTATTTAAAAAAAGCAAAGATCTCAGAATTACTGATCAATGGTTGAACAAAAGTTGACATTGGTTATATGCAAGTTGATGAAAATTTTAATTTAAAAATGGAAAGTTTAATTTAAGATTTGGTTTAAATAAAAACAAAAAAATAAAATCCAAGATAAAATAGATTTATATATTTTTAATGAGCCAAAAATAAATATGATTAACTTGTTAAAAAGTCAATTTTAAGGCCTGGTCTTGATCTTTTTTTGAGGATTTTTTCAGATCGGGGATTTTTTCAGGGAAAAATTTTTG